TCTGACCAATACCCAGTACTGTCTTGGGCCCCTCTCGGCCATGGTCTCTGTTCAGGAACATGCAAACATCTCTCTGCGCCACCCATGGCACCATACTTTTCTGGATCCAGAACCGAGTCCCTTGGCTCCAAAGGAAGAGTATCTTGGGTCTCCAGCTCCAGGTTTCTTGGGCCACCTTTAAAAACCACTGTGTCGTCTGGCTCTGGTGTCCTCCTGAGTGTCCTCCCCTTTGGGATACCCATTGGATCATCAATTGAGCCGCCGTGGTCAGAAGTTCTTGGACTTCTCCCTGCCTCGGACATCTCCATGCTTCTCTCCATCTCTAGGAACAGTGAAAAATCCCACCGCTCCCACCAATGTCGCGCGCCAGACTCCCGCCGAGTACCTGTACTCCCTCGGAGAAGGTCTGGTGGCGATGATAAGGGATTCGGAGGTGTTTATCACGGGCGCCGAGCTTGTTTGGTGCTTCGGCTGTCACTGAGCTAGGAGATGGAGAACACAGGAATATACAAAACAATCAATTACAGGATTTTTAACAATCTATTCAACACAATAATCACAATAAATTTCAAAGTGTCCTTTAATAAAGCCTTTATGGCCAATAACTCAAATGCAAATGTCTCTATATATATACAAGGGTCCAAAACACTCTGGCTCTGAGTTATCTGTCTCTACTCTAATCTGCAATACTCTGCTCTCTACTCTGCTTGTCTCTGCTCTGCTATACTCTGATATACTCGGCTCTGCTCTCTGCTCTCTGCAATACTCTGCTTGTCTACTCTGCTCTGCTCTGCTTGAAAAGAGCTCTCCCTCTTGAGCTATCTCGTCTTTGGGAAGGAGCCCTGGCTCCGGAAGTAACCTCTGCTTCGGGAGTCGCCTTGTCACGGGAGTAACCACCCTTAAACTCTCCTCAAAAGAGTGCTTTCACTCTTTGAGCTACACTGTCTCTTGGAAGGGGTTCAGGCTCCGAGAGTAACCTCTGCTCTTGGAGTCACCACTTCTCAGGATATACCTCTCTACAGCCTCTGCTCAATTCACTCTTGAGCTACACTGTCTCTTGGAAGGGGTCCAGGCTCCTGGAGTATCCTCTGCTCTCCAACGAGATCCACACACTGGGAGTACCTCAGCCCCGGGAATCGCCTCGTCTCAGGAGTAACCTCTGCTCTTGAACGAGATCCACACACTGCTAGTACCTCAGCCCCGGGAATCGCCTCGTCTCAGGAGTAACTTCTACTCAAAGAGTGCTCTCACTCAATGAGCTACACTGTCTCCAAAGAGTAACCTCTGCTCTCGGTGTCACCGCAGGAGCAACCTCACTACAACCTCTGTAGAGAATAACAACTCTAGAATGTCGATCAAAGGATGAGATTAGACAGAGCTGTTATCTCTCGCCTTGGAGCACCTCAGTTCCGGTAATGTAACCTTGGCTCCGATGAGAGCAAACCTTCCTCAACATACAACCCTGGGTGAGAGTCAGATCGCCTCGACAAAGTAGGAGCATTTATAGCTTGGAGGGGTAATGACTAGGAGCCACCAATACTCAGAGCAGAATGACTCACGAATATCGATCAAAGAAATGAGATTAGACAGAGCCAAATCTACTCAGAGAATCTGGAGCTCAAAACTTCTCAAAATGACGTCACTTCCTTAAAAATCAAAGATGGCCGACCGCCGGGGATTGTGGGAACAAGAAAGCAAGATGGCGGACAGCTAATTACCCATTTTATGCCAACCTCAATCAAGAAAATGGCTAACTCACCAAAACACTGGCTGTTGTCTTGTATTTTCTTCAATAGTCGCACCAAATACAATCTGCATCTAACGATTACTGCAACTAATCCAATATATCCAAAATAATGCTCCAATAAGTCCACAGATTAAATAAAACACGCTTGCACATAAATAAATCCAAACTGACGAGGTCTTGTATCTTCAAGATCTTAGTTTACTCTGATTCACGTGGTTAAATGCAAACAATAAAATCCAGACACCTCAAGTTGCATCATGGGAAAACTACAACTTAAGTTGGAGGGAAATTCAAATAAAAGAATCTGATTGGCTGATCACCGGTTGCTGGGTGCTTAATTATTCTAATTTATTCCACTACAGTCTGCTGATCCTGTAAACATCCCAGTGCTTACGTGACATTCTGCATGTACACATTTGAGTCATTAAACTCTCTGAAAGAGTCGACTGACTCCACTTACAAAATTAAACAATAAAAATAAAAAATCACAATTTTGTCACATTATTGTAGATTTAGATGCAAAATATCTTATTCAAGAGAATTTGAAAACTGAGAGTCCATTTTCTCAATTTTTACCAGATAACTTTCAAAATCAAAGGATTATCCTGAAATACAGGGTGTTCCAAAAGTAACAGGACTGGTGCTGGCATTTTGTTTAATATGCACCAATCGTCTTCAAAATTTTACATAATGTACTTTTAGGTATCGTTACTAAGACTGCAAAGTTTCGACAAAATATATGAAACTCGGGTAGAGTTATGGTTGCTATAGTAACATGACATCACAATACCCGGGGCAATATTCCACGCAAAAAGTTACAGAGACATTAAACATTTTGTACATGCCATATCATTTTGTACATGCCATATCAAAGTTGAAATGCAGCAACTGGTGGGAATTACATTTGTTTTACATCATTTGATATTCCTATGTATCCTCTACTTTGAAAAATAGGCTCCTCTTTGGTGAGTACAAGAGTAGTACTCTGTATCCATGACCCAAACACACGAGTGAACCCATTTGATGACATGTCACGCAGGGCCAATTGGACAATTTGGAGAAGGTCATTCCCATCTTTAAAGGTCCTACAGCACTGATTAGCATTCCATTCTCAATATAAGTAAACATTAGATATTGCATGATCAGAGGAGTATGGTGCATGGTTTTAGACTCAAGACCTAGCTCCTCTATAGCTGCATGGTCTTAAATGGTGACCTGCGGGCAGGCGCGCTATCAAGGTAGATGACTGGCTTCAAATTGGGTCTTTTCAAAAACCGTGAATTGTCCAGACCCTTATACATAGTGATATTCCAGGAAATTGAATAAATGTTATTATCATTATGAAATTATACTTGAATCTGAGTTGTATATGCAACACCTTTACAACAAAGGAACTGATACAATAAACAAGAGATGTTCAGCAATACAAAAATGTGAGATATCATATTTTCACGGAAAAGTTGCCCCGGGTATTGTGATGTCATGTTTCTATAGCAACCATAACTCTAACCGCATTTCATCTTTTTTTCTGAAACTTTACAATTTTAGTTGCAATACTTCAAAGTACAATTTGTGAAAATTTGAAGACACTCAGTGCAAAATTGACAAAATGCCAGCACCAGTCCTGTTACTTTTGGAACACCCTGTAAAGTCAGAATTGTAGGAATTTTTAGAAGATAAGCATAACGTGGAATAATGAGAGCAAAAACTGTGACATTGTTTTTAAAATATACTCTAAACTTGTCATTCATTACCTGATGCCCTGAGACTAGGTTTAATGTTGTTGAACTAGGTATAAGTTAAACTGGTTGAAGCTCCCCTTGAGATGCAATTAGTATATGGTATTTTCCTCAGAATTCGAGAAACAAAGGGCTTAATAATTGCATTGACAGAATGGAAATTTGCTAATGGGGTGGTACTCTAGTTCTTTTGTGATTGAAAGATTTAATATCTCATGGTCATGTCAATTCTATACAAAATTATCACTTTCTATTATTTGCTGATCTAAGTGCTGCTATGTACCAGAAACGTGCAAGTCATTGAACTATAATTTTTAAAAGCATATGCAGTCCTCCTCGATCATCATTTTATATTTTGACAAACACATTGTGACATTGTTTCCATTGTTTTTGTACAATTTCGAGTTTTAACTACATACTTGCTGATTGGACTCTTCCATTCTATTTTCTATTTCAAAAGCATTAATACGTTTTCAGTTTGATTTATTCTTTCATCTTTTTAAAAGACCTAAAAGACATACATTAACTGTCTTAAACTGTATCAAACTTTTGTCATTACAAAGGGCAGCAAATAATATACAATCCATCCAAAGGAAATTGCTACGTAATTAATAAACCATTCATTACCACACTCATACTAAGAATGAAATATGTAAAAAGCAATCTTATAAAGAATATATCTGGAGATTTAGAATAGCTCGTCAAATACAAGTGTAATGGAAGATCTAAGATCCAGAAATGGACTGAATGAAAACTTTATATCAATAGCATCCAAATTTCTAAATAATTGCTCATAACCTTAAAGGATTATGTAAAGCTTCCTGTATAAAATAACATGGTGGTTCCAAATTAGTCTACTGGATCAGTCTATTTTTTTAGTTTTTAAAAAATTAGGGGAGTTTGGTAAATTCCAGTTTATTAAAATCATCTTCTTTAAAATAAAACAATCTGTCTGAGTACCAATATCAATTCTTGTATTTATAGTCCAAAATGTTTTGTTTCATTTACAGGACATTTCATAAGACCATGCTTTGTACTAAAACTTGACCAATCAAAATACAAAACAGTGATGTTCATTCAACTGATGCTTGCCATTATCAAACTCGAATATCAATTTTTCCATTAAACACAAATAGAAGATCCTGAAACTTCACCAATAAAATGTGACATTGATTTGTCAAAATGTGTGACAATTTATACTACATAATTGCTACATAAACAGGCACACAATGACCTCAGCATGTGTATGTTTGAGTATTTCTGGGATCTGCCTTTTATACTAAATGTAAGCAACTTTAATAATGAGTGTTCAATTTGTTAAATGTTCTGCATTACCTTTTATGATATAATTAAAGCCAAAACCCTTGGATTTTAATATGAATTATATGCGACAAGGAATTCCAAGACTTATGGTAAAAGTGACTATTTAAAAAAATAACTCTCAAGTCATCTATATCCTTTTGCCGCTTAACCTTAAATGATGTTTAGTCAAATTGATTTATTTTTGTTTCCAGATCGTCATAAAGGATGTAAACACTGGCAATAAATCCCGATGTATTTGTGATTGTATGATTCCTAATTGCTTTGAAGGCATTACAACACTTAATTGTTCTCTAGGTAGGTATAATCATTTTATGGATCTTAGTCATTGAATATGTCTTACATTTGACCAGGTAATCCATGATGAAGTCAAAACAAACAAGCCTGTGCCATCATGTGTTGGATATCCCTGAATAGATAAATCATCCTATCTTTTGATCCATCAGGGAAACTATAACTTATTGGCTAGATTGATGATGTCATTTGCTGTAGGTAGCAATCAGTCTAATAGGATTAACTTATTGCTAATTTTGAAAAAGTACGACCTATGACATCATCACTCTACCTAATATATTGTTGTTTTTCTGATGGATCAAATCACATATTGAATATGCTTAAATTATCAGGTATTGAACACGCCTGAATTATCAGGTATTGAATATCCCTGTATTTTCAGGTATTGAATATGCCTTTATTATCAGGTATAATGCCTAAATTATCAGGTATTGAATATGCCTGAATTATCAGGTATTGAATATCACGGAATTATCAGGTATTGAATAAACCTGTATTATCAGATATTGAATATGCCTGAATTATCAGGTATTGAATATACCTGTATTATCATATATTGATTAACTCATTTACATTTGACACAGAGCATAGAGACTAAACGACTGATATTTTATTTACCTGCACAGTGAATGTGGTACATGGTGGATGGGGACCCTGGATGAAATATACAAGTAGTGTTTGCTCCAGAACTTGTGGATCTGGTACAATCATTTCCAGCTATAGAGACTGCAACAATCCGGCTCCTCAAAATGGTGGGCGACAGTGTGTTGGTGATATATATGAGATAGTACCTTGTAATACACAGTGTTGTCCAGGTGAGTGTGAAGTTTGAATGGTTTAGCAGTTCAGTGGCATTTGACAATTGATGATTTTTGGAAAACAGCTCTGCACCAATGACAGTCCCTCCTACAGAAATGGTTAATATGTTATGACCATTTTATATTGTAAATCGACATTCCCTTACTCTACATATCTTACACTAATTGATTTAAATTAAAAAACAGATGGACTATGAATATATCAAGTATAACAATTTATAGCTTTTATAGTATTCAGTAGAAGTTCAATTTTATAGTTTTTATCATCGCATGATTTTAATATTCATTTTGTTGAGGGCCCCAGCCGCCCCGTGCAAAGTTTGAAAATATTGTTTAACCATCCAAATAGCATTTTATTTGCCATTATGGCTGTTATGTACTTAAAGGTGACTACAAAAAAAGTTGTTGGTCTTTATTTTATTGAATTTCCTGCCATTCAGAGGCCCAACTTCTGGATCCACAAGTATATCTTGTAAAACACATAATTTTCTATACCATGGGATAATTCAAGTTACTCAGACTAGTGATATTGAATTATCTTAGTTGAAAAGAAATATTTAGCATGTCTATTAGAATATATGTACCATTGGTTTTAATTAGAAATATCATTTCAATGATTTTGGGTTAGATAACACAAGCCAAAGTGGTTTAAACTTTGCATAGGGCCTTTAAAACTGTTAGGGAACACCCTCGCTCAAATTTGTTATGTTGAATGCAGACAAGTTTCTGAAAACAAAATTTATTTTCAGGAGAGTATCCAATCACAACCTTTACCAACTCGCCAAAGTACACAATTGGATCTCCATCAATTTCTTTGAGTTCTTTCTTTGAGCATGTACTAGTTGGTAGGATAACTGGACTGCAAAATCTCACAACTGGCACAAGGATTAAAGTTAATGGACCCATGTCTAGTCATGATGTTAAAGTAAGATTAGTCACAATTAGTCACAATGTAACGAAACATGTTATCACTCATTTGCTAAAGGCGGATTCAGATCTTGCAAGCAACCTTTCAAAGTTTTGATTTATAGCGGCCTTTATTTCTGAATTGTGTTTATGTCATCTTGTATGTAATTCTCATTTCTTAATATTCGTACAATTGTTTTCCTGACACATTTGGTCATTCATGGTTTTAACAGAATAAGGCATTGTTTTCCTGACACATTTGGTCATTCATTGTTTTACCAGAATAAGGCATTGTTTTCTTGACACATTTGGTCATTCATTGTTTTACCAGAATAAGGAATTGTTTTCTTGACACATTTGGTCATTCATGGTTTTACCAGAATAAGGCATTGTTTTCTTGACACATTTGGTCATTCATTGTTTTACCAGAATAAGGCATTGTTTTCTTGACACATTTGGTCATTCATGGTTTTACCAGAATAAGGCATTGTTTTCTTGACACATTTGGTCATTCATGGTTTTACCAGAATAAGGCATTGTTTTCTTGACACATTTGGTCATTCATGGTTTTACCAGAATAAGGCATTGTTTTCTTGACACATTTGGTCATTCATGGTTTTACCAGAATAAGGCATTGTTTTCTTGACACATTTGGTCATTCATGGTTTTACCAGAATAAGGCATTGTTTTCTTGACATATTTGGTCATTCATGGTTTTACCAGAATAAGGCATTGTTTTCTTGACACATTTGGTCATTCATTGTTTTACCAGAATAAGGCATTGTTTTCTTGACACATTTGGTCATTCATGGTTTTACCAGAATAAGGCATTGTTTTCTTGACACATTTGGTCATTCATGGTTTTACCAGAATAAGGCATTGTTTTCTTGACACATTTGGTCATTCATGGTTTTACCAGAATAAGGCATTGTTTTCTTGACACATTTGGTCATTCATGGTTTTACCAGAATAAGGCATTGTTTTCTTGACATATTTGGTCATTCATGGTTTTACCAGAATAAGGCATTGTTTTCTTGACACATTTTGTCATTCATGGTTTTACCAGAATAAGGCATTGTTTTCTTGACACATTTGGTCATTCATGGTTTTACCAGAATAAGGCATTGTTTTCATGACACATTTGGTCATTCATGGTTTTACCAGAATATATAAGGCATTGTTTTCTTGACACATTTGGTCATTCATGGTTTTACCAGAATAAGGCATTGTTTTCCTGACACATTTGGTCATTCATGGTTTTACCAGAATAAGGCATTGTTTTCTTGACACATTTGGTCATTCATGGTTTTAACAGAATAAGGCATTGATTTGGACTTCCATTAGGAGCATCCTTAAGTATGCACACAACCCCTAGCAAATGAAACAATAGATTACCAGTAAAGTGTGCCTTTAAGTCCTCTTAAATAGCACAGTGTTTGTTAAATAGGTATTTCCATATGTTGATTTTGGGTACATTCACCTTTTAAACATTGAACTTCATATGACCTACCTCAAAGTCTGAAGAATATCATATTAAGATAATTTTTTGATCATCAATATCAGTTAATTCTTAAACAATCAAAGTGGTGTTCATAGCACACTTTTATGAAATTTATCTTGAGAGATACAATAAACCTCTTCAGTTCTTACCATCCATTGACTGTATCCTTAAGTTGAAAGAACTAATTGGTCAAATATGATTTATTAATAAAAAAACATGCTTTGATAAATCATGAAATGGGCCAGACTATAAGAAGTTTAAAAAATTCTGTTCTAGATTAAGAATGCGGTCCGGGAATTCTGTGACTCGAGTGTGTACAGAATGACAAAGCCTCAACCTTCAGGATTTAACTTGAGATATGAAGTATCAGTATCAATTGAAGATGATTTACCCCTATGTCTGGATAATTCATCTTACGTTGCTGTCATTCCACCAACATTCACCGCAGAAATGACAGGTTTGTTTGTTTATTGTTGTCTGGGGAAACCATTTGAACTGCTGAAATTGTCTTAACAACACATCTTACATTTTACCACCATTCAACCAAGCTTCACTCTGAAATCTCAAGAACCCTTTCCATCAACTGCCTTTCCATTATATAATCTCAAGAACCCTTTCCATCAACTGCCTTTCCATTGTATAATCTCAAGAACCCTTTCCACCAACTGCCTTTCCATTATATAATCTCAAGAACCCCTTCCATCAACTGCCTTTCCATTATATGAACTCAAGAACCCTTTCCATCAACTGCCTTTCCATTGTATAATCTCAAGAACCCTTTCCATCAACTGCCTTTCCATTATATAAACTCAAGAACCCTTTCCACCAACTGCCTTTCCATTATATAATCTCAAGAACCCCTTCCATCAACTGCCTTTCCATTATATGAACTCAAGAACATTTTCTTTGTTTGTGTTGTCACAATGATAATGTCTAGAAATAGTGAATATCACTTACATGAAATTTTTATCACTCTTGTGTTTTGGAATCGGGGTTAAAGACTGAGTCTGGTTAAGCATAAATAATGCCCATTTGTAGGTATAGGATGTGATGAGATTGGATGGAGAAAGAATTTATCCACGGATTCTAGCTGCTTTAAATTAGTTTCTACAGTACATCACTCATGGGACGCTGCAAGGTTAGCCTGTATCGCTGAGGGGGCAGACTTAGCCACTTTCTCGAGCCAGCGACAGCAAAACTTTATTTTGCAATTAGGTTTGTTTCTTATCTTCCTCATTTAAAACATATTTTTCATTATTAGTCAAGCTTGCAATTGTACAATTGGTAAGAACTGGACCACCCTATGCAGACAGAGCCTGTGGGAAATATTGGGTGCGGAGCAAATGAGCGGAGGGTGCGGAGCTAACGGTCATTTTTGAATTTAAATTTGGGATATTTCTGAAATTAAGCCGTTTTGGGACTTCAAATATACCAAGATATGTGTATTTGACACCAAATATCAATACAATTGTGAAAATAGTAGCGCAATTCATTCTATAGCGACGCAGTGTGCCTTAAACCTTTCCCAGACCTATATATTTTGAAATTATCCTTTTAATACTGAGTCCCCAGCATTCATAAGAAATGGTGTTCAAGGTACACTATCTATACAAATTATTTTTGCATCTTGGAAGCCAGGCAGTATCTGTGTGATTTTATAAAAATTCGGAAATGTTTTTCAGATAGAGCCCCCTCTAAATATTGGGTGCGGAGGAGCTCCATAAACGTACCTCCGCACCCAATATTTAGAGGGGGCTCATATCTGAAGAACATTTCCGAATTTTTATAAAATCACACAGATACTGCCTGGCTTCCAAGATGCAAAAATAATTTGCATGGGTAGTGTATCTTGAACACCATTTTTTATGAATGCTGGGGACACACTTATTAAAAGGATAGTCTCAAAATATATAAGTTTGGGAAAAGTTTAAGGCATACTGCGTCGCTATAAAATGAATTGCACTACTATTTTCACAATTTTGTTGATATTTGGTGTCAAATACACATATCTTGGTATATTTGAAGTCCCAAAACGGCTTAGTTTCAGAAATATCCCAATTTTAAATTCAAAAATGACCGTTAGCTCCGCACCCTCCGCTCATTTGCGCCGCACCCAATATTTCCCACAGGCTCTGTCTGCATAGGGTGTGGACGTGCTTATCAAATTAGGCAACCAGTGGATATTGCTATCCCCACTCCTGGGAATTGCAAAATAAATACATTTTGTTCATGCCGTGTACATCATCATTTTCAAATCACCCCACAAAAACTGCAAGATTTCAATTCACAAGTAGTGGTATAGTAGTGGTGATTTGAAAAATCATGCAACCATAATTGCTTGACAGGGGGGGGGGTAACCCCAGGTAATGAATATGCTTACATCAATTAAAACATCACAACAATGTGTAATTTTTGAAAGCTAACTGGTGAGAAATCGCGTAAATGAAGGTGGTACTCAAGAGACGTAATTATATATGTTAACTCTTAAGCTCTTGGGCTTTCCCCCTCTTGTTGTTTGAAATTCTGTCATTTTGTAGATTATAACAAAGTTTTTTGAGGAATGTGTATCTAAATATTAACGGCATATTAACAATACACTTATCAAATGGCCATTTTGTGACATATTGAATGATTATTATTATTATATCTTTATATTATTCATGACATTAATGATAACAATTTATGTGTGATCCTGAAAATTGGAGAAAACTTGTGACAACTTATGCATAACTAGTATCTCCATGTATTTTCAGCACATAGTGGCTCACTTATCTGGATAGGCTTAACCAGCAAGTTGAATGATATAGGCCGATGGGAATGGATCAATGGCACATCATATGAGGGCTATATTACTACAAAATATTTATCTTATACTGCAGAGTGTGCTTACTTAAGCCAAACTGGAATAGCTCCTGAAGCTTGTAGTCAAAGTAACACTGTAGTATGTGAAAGGAGAGGTAATGCTGTGATGAGTAACATATTAAGAGTCATTATTTTCGATTAAATATTGGGTACCCAGTATTTCATCACAGTTCAGTTGATTTATATGTCGCCACCTCATATTGTTATAATCTCCAACGTTTTTTGTGGACAGTGTTCCGCAGTGTGGTGGTGATTCTGAGTTTGGTGGTTGGTGTTCGGCATTCAATGTCTGTAACAAATGGCAGGTGGTGACATTTTGCATGTTAATGCCTCGTCAAAAATTTTGTTAAACTCATGATTTGGGAGATGTTATCCTTTGATCAGATATATCCCATAGGTTTCATAACACTTGATATGTGAACAAAATAATTGTCCAATGATGGACTAGGTGAGGTGTATATGTATGTAGTATCTTCCAAAACCTCAAAAATATGATAAATACCAAAAATTGACGATTTAAAGGACAATGAGTTGTCCATGACAATGTGTTGATGGTCTAAGTACAATTTTCAAATGTATATGCATTTTTTATTTGTAGATTGCACAAAACCATGTTGCACGAATACATATCATGATTTTGCAATCACTGGCTACAATGATTTAACAATACAAAAAGTTACAATGTCTCAGTGTATAGATACATGTGCCACAAGTAATGCATGTGAAAATGTTGAATACTGGTCAGGGGACAACTCATGTGTTATATCTGAAACCAGTTTGAAAGATGCAGTGGCTACAGATATTGGCAGTTTAAACATTGATAAGAGAGTGAATTTCTATGAGACCCATTGTAGTAAGTAATAAAATGAACATTAACAATACAAGGGAGGGACAGAGTCACAGTGTGTTCAGAGTATTTTTGAACATTTTCAATATTTTTACTGTCATCATTCCACACCATGCCTATTTTCTTAAAAAACCAACAGTTGTAAGGAATAGTTTATTTTACATTTCAAATTGACCCCAGAATGCTATTAAACATTCATTGATTCTTTTCAAATTAAGTTGTTTCATTCATATTTAGAAAATGGTAAGATCGTGTAATCAGCCAAATGACATTACAATGACATTGAATCTTGTCGCTTAACTACAGGTACCTACCTCCCATAATGCCCATTTCACTGGTTGTTTTTTCAGAGGCCTGTAGGGGAAATGATATAGTCCCCCATGATTCTGATTCTAACACATACTACAAGTGTATAGATGGTGTTTATGTGGAACACCAATGTCAAAGTGGTATGTACATGGATTATCAGGAAAGTGTGTGTGTTGAGTTACCTGTGTTAACACCACTAGAAATGCAGTATGGCTTTGGGTCCTTATTCATAACTAACTGTGAAGCTACTACACCACAAAGTACTGTAACTACAACTCAAAGTACTGTAACTACAACTCAAAGTACTGTAACTACAATTCAAAGTACTGTAACTACAATGCAAAGTACTGTAACTATGCTAGAAAGTAATGTTACTATACCACAAAGTACTGTTACTACACCACAAAGTACTGTAACTACAACTGAAAGTACTGTTACTACACCACAAAGTACTGTTACTACACCACAAAGTACTGTTACTACAACTGAGAGTACTGTTATTACACCACAAAGTACTGTAACTACAACACAAAGTACTGTTACTACACCACAAAGTACTGTTACTATGCCACAAAGTACTGTTACTACACCACAAAGTACTGTTACTATGCCACAAAGTACTGTTACTACACCACAAAGTACTGTAACTACAACTGAAAGTACTGTTACTACACCACAAAGTACTGTTACTACACCACAAAGTACTGTTACTACAACTGAGAGTACTGTTATTACACCACAAAGTACTGTAACTACAACACAAAGTACTGTTACTACACCACAAAGTACTGTTACTACAACTGGAAGTACTGTTACTACACCACAAAGTACTGCTACTACAACACAACGTACTGTTACTACTACACCACAAATTACTGTTACTAAACCACAAAGTACTGTTACTACAACTGAAAGTACTGTTACTACACCACAAAGTACAGTTACTACACTAAAAAGAACTGTTACTAAAAATACTGTAACCACACCTCCAAGCCATGTTAATACATCACAGAGAATTTCTTTGACATCAGATAGAAATCACTTCTTTCAAATTGTCTTTAATCCGATAACTAGAATAAATGAACATGCAGTTGCTAAGCAACGTCAGGAACCTGTTTTTACTGATTCTGACAAAAGGCCATTGTCCATTGCTGTGGGGACCCTGGGTTCAATCGTGCTTATTGTGATATTTGGCGGAATCGTTATATCTGACCTGGGAACCTTGAAGAGGCAAATATATCAATTTTCACCTTGTCTGAAACACTGATAATGATAATTTTCACCTTGTTTGAAACACTGTTAATGATAATTTGTACCTCGTTTAAAACACTGATAATGATAATTTTCACCTTGTTTGAAACACTGATAATGATAATTTTCACCTTGTTTGAAACACTGATAATGATAATTTTCACCTTGTTTGAAACACTGTTAATTTTCACCTCGTTTGTTTTACCTTGTTTGAAACACTGATAACAATGATAATTTTCACCTTGTTTGAAACACTGATAATTTTCACCTTGTCTGAAACTCTGACAATGATAATTTTCACCTTGTTTGAAACACTGATAATGATAATTTTCACTTTGTTTGAAACACTGATAATTTTCACCTCGTTTGAAATGCTGATAATTTTCACCTTGTTTGAAACACTGATAACAATGATAATTTTCACCTTGTTTGAAACACTGATAATTTTCACCTTGTTTGAAACACTGATAATTTTCACCTTGTTTGAAACTCTGATGATTTTCACCTTGTTTGAAATGCTGATAATTTTCACCTTATTTGGAACACTGACCCAGGAGACTGTTTCTTGATCGGGCTCCTGAAGTTGAATTTAAAGATCACTTCAGATTACAAGTTTTGATCTCTGCAGTAAGATTCAAAATGAAACTTAACTGTTGTGTCATGTATTATTAAATGTAATGATCAATTGGAATGTAAGTTATGTTATGTATTACATCATATTTTATATATATCGGTATAAATGATGTAATAAAATAATGTTATGAACTGAATTATATGTTGTTATGTTCTCTTAAAGGCTACCCTCTTAAATATGTAAAGCATTTTATATTGTGAATCACACCATTTTATTAAATAAATGAATTACATCGTGTAAGCAGTCAGACTCAAGTTTACTTTCATAATTATCTGAAAAATAGGAAACAACTGTTGAATGATTGAAGACGAAGCAGGACTCAATGAGTTGTTGGTGATTTATTGCAAGAGATGGTTTAGCCCAGTTTTAATGCTAGCATACAATCAAGTGAAATGAATCACTAACAAATCATTGAGTCTACAATTTTCCCTTATTAACCATCTGTAGTCGAATATAGCATTGCTACACTGTGTTCTGATTGGCTGCAAAGTGATAGTGCATGAGAATGGATAATATACCTTCAAAGGAGATGTATCATAAAGTATTAGGAGTTTATTTTTAGGTCCATTAAATGTATCTTTGGTCCTCAACATATTATGGTCTTCTCATAGAAAATAGACTAAAAGTTTTCAAATGAATGATACCAATTTGACATGAAAATTGAAGAAGTGAAGTTGTCTCATTATGGTTCATCTTTTCAGCATGAACTTGAAACATAAGACATTTTAACTTTTGGTGATAAAATATAACTATAAAAGTAGAACTCGATTGAATCACTATTAACTGAATGCGAAAATCACTGTTATTCTCTATTTATTTCATATTTATTATAAAGTTGAATTCCTATTCACACCTTTGTTATCATGTAAAATGCAATAAATTATATTTGTACAAAATATATTCATTATCTGTATTAAAATGGGTAATTAACAATCCCCTTTAAATACATTGGATCTAAGTTGCACATAATCGTTTTAGAAAATTTTCTATTATGAGGGCTGATATGGAAGCCACTTCATTCCTTTATTTAGGATGTGGGTCCAAATCTACAACATGTCAGTCCCAAAGGATCAGTTTTAGCTACTCGGGTGCTCCATAAAAGTCAAATACACAATTTGATCAATAAATGGGAAATGGTCCATATTTTGCAGCTTCATGATTCAAGTCTTAGCAAACAAACTCTTTCCAGCCCCTAAATAGTTGGTCCAATTAGTGCTGATACATTTAGGCTCCTAGAAATAAAAATGGAATCATTGAAAAAAACTTTCATTTCATTGGCACTATCAATGGGTCTGTCATTCATACTGAAGGAAACATTGCACGAGTGCCTGGATCAAACATTTATATTGAAGGAAACATCATGCAAGTGGCAAGTGCCTGGATAAAACGGTTATATTAGTTGAAGGAAACATCACAGTGATAGAGATTTACCCTTTACGTCACTACCAGAACTGGTGAGATTCTATATTGTTACAGCCATCAATTTTTGGGACCAGCAGTTTTAGCGAACAGTTACGCTTTTAAGAATGACTCACCATAAGTTTTGCATTGGCCTTCACCTCAGGCATGGTTAGGGGTATAGCTTGTATGGGAGAAGGAGACCTCTTCTCAATCAATGCTTCAGCTTCCCTATAAAATAATAAATTAGGGTCAAGGTCATATAGAAATTTTACTTTGGGGTAATATTGGGGTCATGAGATGTCAAGGTCATTGGGGAGGTTAGAGGGACAGCTAATATGGAAGAGACTTTTCAAACTTGATATTTCAGCCTCCTCAAATAATAACATTGATGTCAAATAATAATACTAAGGTCAATGCAAGGTTATTGTAAAGGTCAGGGCATGGTTAGTTATTGGGATAACTTGTAAAAGCAGAAGGAGTTTCATTTCACCAGATAATTAACTTGCATCTGTGTTACAGATATTTTATACTCATAAAGAAAATGTTACCCATCTTGGATATTATGCATACTTTTGTAATTGAAGCTCATGTGATGCATCAGTTCTCTTGCTATATGCAGAGCTCCCACTGTGCGTTGATTCCTTCAGAGATCCCAGAGATTCAGCACGACCTTGTGAACTCAGCATTGTATGTTCTGCAGCTAGGTATTTATGCCATGATGGTGATAAGGGTTCCTCTTTTAGCCCACTCTGGTTGACTATGAAGGGTTCAAATGTTCCTTCCCTGGTCTGGAATTGGTGATATAAAATTTGCTTAAACACTTGAAAGTATGAAGTTACATTTCTAAATTATTTTTTGCTTGATTTTCTATTTGAACAAATAATTTTAAATCTGTGGAAATGCTGATGTAAAAAGAGAGAACTAGATTCACTCCAAAACCCTGGCTTTAGCGTCGAGGTGTCATGTGGCAACTGGCAATGTGCAAGAAACACAGAATTCTTACCAGTTCTCTTAGACTTGTATTGTCCATGTCCATAGCAGCTGACAGTTCTGCCTGAGCTGCATGTTTGTCAAGAATTCTGGAAAATAAATTAAATATACACACAACCATATATAACAAGTAGGAAATATGACAGCATATTTTTTGTTAAATCATCAAACAGTAAAATTTGATAGTCAGTTTTATCAAACAGGTTCTAATGAAGTATCTGGCGTATAGAACAGCATTTTCATAAATGGGTCATATCATTGTTTGCATTTGAAATATTTGGTCCTGATGTTAAGATTGAATAATACATACCTTAATGATGAGGCAGTGTTACTCATAGCATGTTGATGCATTTAATAATACATACCTTAATGATGAAGCAGTGTTACTCATAGCATGATGATGCATTTAATAATACATACCTTAATGATGAGGCAGTGTTACTCATAGCATGTTGATGCATTTAATAATACATACCTTAATGATGAGGCAGTGTTACTCATAGCATGTTGATGCATTTAATAATACATACCTTAATGATGAGGCAGTGTTACTCATAGCATGTTGATGCATTTAATAATACATACCTTAATGATGAAGCAGTGTTACTCATAGCATGATGATGCATTTAATAATACATACCTTAATGATGAGGCAGTGTTACTCATAGCATGTTGATGCATTTAATAATACATACCTTAATGATGAGGCAGTGTTACTCATAGCATGTTGATGCATTTAATAATACATACCTTAATGATGAAGCAGTGTTACTCATAGCATGATGATGCATTTAATAATACATACCTTAATGATGAAGCAGTGTTACTCATAGCATGATGATGCATTTAATAATACATACCTTAATGATGAAGCAGTGTTACTCATAGCATGAAGATGCATTTAATAATACATACCTTAATGATGAAGCAGTGTTACTCATAGCATGATGATGCATTTAATAATACATACCTTAATGATGAGGCAGTGTTACTCATAGCATGATGATGCATTTAATAAAACATACCTTAATGATGAGGCAGTGTTACTCATAGCATGATGATGCATTTAATAATACATACATTAATGATGAGGCAGTGTTACTCATAGCATGTTGATGCATTTAATAATACATACCTTAATGATGAGGCAGTGTTACTCATAGCATGATGATGCATTTAATAATACATACCTTAATGATGAGGCAGTGTTACTCATAGCATGATGATGCATTTAATAATACATACCTTAATGATGAGGCAGTGTTACTCATAGCATGATGATGCATTTAATAATACATACCTTAATGATGAGGCAGTGTTACTCATAGCATGATGATGCATTTAATAATACATACCTTAATGATGAGGCAGTGTTACTCATAGCATGATGATGCATTTAATAATACATACCTTAATGATGAGGCAGTGTTACTCATAGCATGATGATGCATTTAATAATACATACCTTAATGATGAGGCAGTGTTACTCATAGCATGTTGATGCATTTAATAATACATACCTTAATGATGAGGCAGTGTTACTCATAGCATGTTGATGCATTTAATAATACATACCTTAATGATGAGGCAGTGTTACTCATAGCATGATGATGCATTTAATAATACATACCTTAATGATGAGGCAGTGTTACTCATAGCATGATGATGCATTTAATAATACATACATTAATGATGAGGCAGTGTTACTCATAGCATGTTGATGCATTTAATAATACATACCTTAATGATGAGGCAGTGTTACTCATAGCATGATGATGCATTTAATAATACATACCTTAATGATGAGGCAGTGTTACTCATGGCATGTTGATGCATCTTTCTTAGTCGTTTTACAAAGTATTTCCTCTCTCTATCCCTCTGCCTTGCCTCCATCTTGGCTATCATCTACAACATTGTTAAAATATTCATGTTATGTGTCTCTGTTTCATAATGAACTAAACCCATCAACTAGTATTAAAGTAATCATAAATTACATTTTTCCGAAAAATGGCAGCAATTTTAAATTGAGTGGGAATATTGAAAATTTCTTTTAGAGCAGATATTCTATGCCCATAATGCATCAGTTGATACAATTTGAATCAAATATATCAATAGGTATTTGAGTTATTGTCCAGAGAGACAGACAGACAGATGGATAGGTTCACTATATCCCTCTTGAACTTGGTGGATTAATTACTAATGTATGTAGTATGTATTATATTCACTAATAGCTATTAATGACTATTAATGTATGGATACCTCATCAGGATCTGGAGGTTTCTCACCCAGCTGAAGCCTGTTGCATGCTAGATCTGGCATTTCTACAGTAGGACAGAGTTTGTCAAGAGCAAACCCAGCAGCTCTGGCCTTCAATGTAGGATTCAATCCTCCCTAAAATAAATCAATATATTTAACACTGGAAAGATCTGGCATTTCTACAGTAGGACAGAGTTTGTCAAGAGCAAACCCAGCAGCTCTGGCCTTCAATGTAGGATTCAATCCTCCCTAAAATAAATCAATATATTTAACACTGGAAAGATCTGGCATTTCTACAGTTGGACAGAGTTTGTCAAGAGCAAACCAAGCAGCTCTGGCCTTCAATGTAGGATTCAATCCTCCCTAAAATAAATCAATATATTTAACACTGGAAAGATCTGGCATTTCTACAGTAGGACAGAGTTTGTCAAGAGCAAACCCAGCAGCTCTGGCCTTCAATGTAGGATTCAATCCTCCCTAAAATAAATCAATATATTTAACACTGGAAAGATCTGGCATTTCTACAGTTGGACAGAGTTTGTCAAGAGCAAACCAAGCAGCTCTGGCCTTCAATGTAGGATTCAATCCTCCCTAAAATAAATCAATATATTTAACACTGGAAAGATCTGGCATTTCTACAGTTGGACAGAGTTTGTCAAGAGCAAACTCAGCAGCTCTGGCCTTCAATGTAGGATTCAATCCTCCCTAAAATAAATCAATATATTTAACACTGGAAAGATCTGGCATTTCTACAGTAGGACAGAGTTTGTCAAGAGCAAACCCAGCAGCTCTTGCCTTCAATGTAGGATTCAATCCTCCCTAAAATAAAACAAAATATTTGACACTGGAAAGATCTGGCATTTCTACAGTAGGACAGAGTTTGTCAAGAGCAAACCCAGCAGCTCTTGCCTTCAATGTAGGATTCAATCCTCCCTAAAATAAAACAATATATTTAACACTGGAAAAGCTCTCAAACACTTTGGATGTGGAGAGATTGAAATCAAAATGTAAGGTTGCATTTTCCAATCTTCTACACACTTTAAACTGTTCAATTTGGTGAGGAAGTCTCACAAATTGGATATTAATGCTTAATTAGGCCACATTAGGTAAATAAACACAGATGTTTGATGTAGTATTTTCCAGGCTATGCTTTAAACTACACTTGCAGTGGACTGACAACAATTATCATGAAACCAAGTATACCTTATACTGAGACTGGAATTGTTGTGTTATAGCCCAGAGCTGTTGTTCTCTGGACATTGGCCTCTCCTCCTCCACAGTGTCTGTCACAACAGAGTGTGATTGGAGAACACGTCTCTTATCTTCTATATGAGTGGACGTACATGTATCTCGAGCAGACCCATCAACATTATCAACAGAGTCAGAATCTGAAAAATTGATTTAAATTAAAGATCAGGTAAATAATATACATCTAATAGACATGTTGATGAAATTTGCCTCAAGTTCAAGCATTTTCTGTCTCTTATCATTTTTAATTTAATTAACCTCATTTTAATTTAATCTGTACCCCTAGCCTAAAATTTCAGCCCTCACCCTAACCATTTCAACATTACACCATTACAGACTGCTTTCAGGTCAAATCATGAAAACTCAACACATTAAAATCATTAAAATGAACTCATCTAGCTTTAACATCAAATGTATCTGAAAGGTTTAATGTGTACACTGTACCTGTAACTGCTACAGCAGGTTTCTTGACGAAGTATGACCTGTAGACCTCTGGTTTCTGAATGTTCTTCCAGAATGCATCAATATCAGTCTGGGTACGAAGTTTACCTTGGTTCTTTAATTTTTCTTCAAGTTGTAAAATCTTAAAATGAAATACAGTATACATGTTCATCATTCAGCCCATAATGTACAAAGTGTAATACTATAGTAATAAAATTCATGATGGAGAAATGCGTTATAACAAATGTATATTTTTGCTTATTTAAATCATTATATTATTAGGATAATATGGTAATTCAATTTCTGTTTATTTGATGATGGATCAAAGTTCAATACCAGTGTTTCAAACCTTACAATTCAGTATTCATCAGTTGACAGTTAGTACAGAGATGATATGAAGTGCATGTTACATGTAATATAATGAGAACTTGTACCTTCCAAGCCTTTGTTTGATGCATGCTTTTCAGATAGGTGGAGTCGTGGTTCAACTTGTGGGCCTGGTGCCTTTTCTGAACTTTGTGACTCCTCAGTTTCTGAGATTATAATCAACACTGATGTGATTATTTAAATATCTGAATCTTATTATACATATCTGCATAAAAGTGTAATGTACATGATATTAAGGACAGAACTAAGGATTATTTTTTGGAAAAGACAAACATGGCTTCTGATCCACAACTTAGCTTACCAAGAGATGAAAGATATTATACTTATGGGTTATTTCCATTAATGCCAATTGGACCTTATTTTGACATTCTTGTATCAATGTAGAATATTGATGACGAATGCTCAATTTTATATATTAACTCTAGCCTGAGTGAACTTACATCTGCCTCTTCAGCCAGTTTGATTTTGTTCACCAAACTGTCAGTTTTCTTCTGAATTGACTCTCTCTGTTTCTCTATCTTCTTATTCAACATGCTCATATACTTCTTATAATAGATGTCTCTGATCTTGTGAGTCTCATCAAGGACATTCAGATAGTGCTGAAAAATATGTACATGTTTTTTTAAATTATTTTTTATGACATCTATGTTCTACCTACAAAGATGGATTCTCCTACATTTCCCTAATGATGAGCTTGTGGGGAAGAGGGGGTCCAGGTCACAAAACTTCAGCTCAATAACACAGTTTCATAGGTCTTCCCTTATTTTTTGGCTTCCATAAAAAACAATATTTTACTGCACTGACAACATAATTATAGGTTAACTTCTAGCTATTTATAACAACATAACTATGTAAAACATGCATAATCATTTGAAGTATACCAACCTCTTGTTTTTCCTTTTCTCTGATATCATCATCATCTCCACCAAATGGTGTCATTAGCTTCCTTGATGCTGGTCTCTGGCGACTTTCTGACTTCTCTCGCATCCTCTACAAAATCAAAATGGTTAGATACTGTATTTGTATTGTAGATGTAGATGACATACTGTAGGTCTGGCCACAGTATCTATCTACATCCGCGATATCATTAGATCATGACAAAATTAATAATTTTTATTGTAATAAATGTTCAGGCTTATTTTCAAATTTCGTAATTGAATGCATTCTAATTAATTTATAAAGAGTTACTCCAAAAAACGTTATGCTTAATCCATCAAACATGGGATGGTCCTGGGTTAATTTGTCTTGCTTTTGTTATTTCACTTACCCGCTCTCTCTCTTTTTTAATGTGGTAGGGAACCTCCTCTTCAAAGCCATATTGTGTCAGTAAATTAGGTAAGGTTGTTTTGAATGTTTTTTTATTGAACTTAGACAGATCCAGTGACTCAACCTTCTTTGTGACATCATTTTGTTCTGTATCTGTATCTGTTTTCTTTTCTCCTTCCTAGAAATACACCGATACAGAAAGATATTAATGGAGTTCTCAGGGGAAGCTACAGACAAAATACTACTCTTGATGGCATGTATGGTTGTTTTTGAAAAATGGCCTTAATGTTTTGAGAAATTTAGCCACTGTTTCCTTGTTAAAATAATTCAACCAATTTTGTCTGTCTAGACAAACTTTGACATACAGTGGGGGGCATAAAGAATTACAAAACCTATGGAAATTACATGTTGTCGCATATGTAATAAATTCTTACCTCAGTGTATTCAGTGCTATATTTTCTCCGTCATAGTAAGTCCAGATATAGTGGAATTTGTGTCCATAATGACAAATAAGAACTTAAAAATTTGATGTGGAATTCACATGTTAATGCCGACTCTTCAAATGTTGAGGTGATTTTGGAGACAGATTACGCCACAATGTGGGTTGGCTCCCAGAATGCAACATGACATGTGTCAGCTTTCAAAATGCCATTTCGCCGTTTTGAAATACGTCACGAATAAATAAGGTTACTTGATGTTGCATTCTGGGAGTCAATCCTCCTTGGATCACAAACATGGCGATTCATGAAAACATTAGTCCGATTTGGTAGGGATTTATCCATCATTTGCAGGTATGAGGCTTTGGATTCATTTATTGTGCTACTTAAAGTGGATGGGAATTATTTTTCTACCACTTGGGAGAGTTTGAGACATGAAACTTAGAATTTAGCTCATTGTGACAACTTTTGAGGGTTGAGATTTATTTTTGTCCCCCACTTTAGACTGATAGACATGACAAATTCAGGGAGTAGATAATTCCACAGGGGTTTGGAGACCTCCGAATAGCCGAATAGATGTAGGCCTACCTACATGTACATGTAAATGTTACAAGTTCAACTTGTAGCCTAATATAAGGAGACTCAGTTGTAGATACAAAGTTTATTGTAAGTTGTTGAAATGATGTGATTCATATACAAACGTTTATGCAATGACTCTTTAACTGAGATATAGTTACATTAGTTTAAGTTCATGAACTTAATATAAAAAATGAATTTTGAATTAAGGTCTCATGGAAGTTAACAGGAAATGACAAAACAAAAAATGACAAAGCCATGCTGGATTTTGAAAATTTTTTGAACCAAGATAACATAGTTCTCTTTGGACCTCCAGTCAGTTTAACTAGTTCCACATATCATTTACATGACCGGGAACACAATTGAAATGGTCAGAATGACCATAAACATGATAGAATAACCTTTTCAGCCCTCTGAAAATGTGACTAAAAATAGCTAAGAGTCGGTGCTCAGGAAAGGTCACTGAACAGAATCTTTTGAATTTTTCAGAAAATGTGCCCAATATATTGCTCTAAATGATACAATTTAAAAAAAATTTGATATCATTCTTAGAAAAAGAAAAAAATGAAAAAAACTGAATTGAAAATCGATCTATTTTCCTTTTTACTCCAGCCATTATTGTTTCAGACGATTTTTTAAAATTTTAAAGATTGTATCATTTAGAGCAATATATTGGGCACATTTTCTGAAAAAATCAAAAGATTCTGTTCAGTGACCTCTCCTGAGCACCGACTCTTAGCTATTTTTCAGTCACATTTTCAGAGGGCTAAAACGGTTATTTTATCATGTTTATGGTCATTCTGACCATTTCAATTGTGTTCCCGGTCATGTAAATGATATGTGGAACTAGTTAAACTGACTGGAGGTCCAAAGAGAACTCTGTTATCTTGGTTCAAAAAATTTTCAAAATCCAGCATGGCTTTATCATTTTTTGTTTTGTCATTTCCTGTTAACTTCCATGAGACCTTAAAAAAAATTAAAAACACCTGTCAAAATTCTGAAATTAGTTTTCCAATACGATTTTCTAAACATTTGTAAAGTGAAATATTACAAAATTACACCTACAGTTTCTTTATGACTAGGAGTTTCTTCCGCCGTATCTCCTAGATTATTCAGTTCATCTTCCTCTGAGGAATCTTCATATTCGGAGTCACCCTCATTTTTAAGTTCGTCCGCCATATTGACTGTTGCCAAAACAGTGTAACCCACAATGCATCAGATCTCGTAATTCATCGCGAGAACTGACATGGCAGATTGGGAAGAAGTTAAAAGATTGGCAGCAGATTTTCAGCGTGCACAGCTTAGCAGCACTGTGCAAAAGTATGTTTACACGTGAATTACATTGCGTGATATATATTTCACGCTTTAGCGAAGTTTTATTTACATCGGAGTGGGATTTATGAAGTTGTTGAACTTTTTATACGAATTTCATAATAATCCTCAACTGCATTCTCAAAATTCATTTCGTTCGTTGCGTACCTGTAAGGCACAGGAGGTACGGATGGCACTGGACGAAAGGCTCGGAGACTGCCTCAACTGTGTCAGTGTGTACATGTTCAGTACTGTTCGTCTGTTGTTGTTGAACTTGCCATACATTTCCAGTGTCATATTCACAATTCATATACATGCTGAGATAAGCAATTGGTGCTTAGTAAAATTCTATTGACTTTATACATGGGCTTTCAACTAGAGTGCTTATATGTATGTATACCTTCTGCAGGACAGCATCTCAGCTTTCTAATGGTGTGTCAACTTCTTGATCTTTTTTATTAGAAAAAACTCTTATAGTCCATTGTATGCATTGGCTGAGAGGGAACCTATTTTTGGGCCATGTTTATCTTTTACTTCATAATTTGAAGCATAGGGAATAAGGAAACTCAGTCAATCAATTTATGTCTGATACAAGCTGTATCGGAATTCTGAGTAACACTAAAACTCGTATCAGTTAGTCAACTTCACCAGGTCTAGTAAATAGCACCTTTCTATAAAATGTTTCAGATGTTTGTATGATTTTACAAGTATCAATCAAGTTTAGAGTTTCACTTTAATTCGCCCTGTATCGTATTATATCATGATGTCAGTATAAAATGTCAATAAAATGTGAATATGTCTGAGTGATTATTTGGGATTCGTTTTTGTAGGCTGTCAGAAAGAAATTGTATTGAGATAGTTTCAAAGTTGGTAGAACAGAACCTACTTGATATCATTTATACTACAGATGGCAAAGAATACCTTACTCACCAGGAAGTATCCAAAGAAATTAGGGAGGAACTTCAGGTTCATGGAGGTACAGTATATTGGGAAAAAGTGAACAGGTTAAGGCATGTCTTAAAATTAAAGATCAAATGTTTTTATCAAAAAGAATATTGAGTTTAAAGGAAGAGATAGAGATGAAATTTGGTCCTTTTGAAACCACTACATGAACGTCTTGGCTTCTCTTTCCAGGACGAATCAATCTTGTTGAGCTTCAAACAATTCTCAATATTGACTTCAGCCACATAGAAAGCAAAGTTAATGAACTTGTGAAGAATGACAAGTCTCTAAGATTGGTTCTTGGTCAACTTATTGAGAGGTTGGTATGTTTTCCTATAAGTACATGTACTTATGCTGTCTGATTACTTTATTTTGAAACATGAAGATCATAGATGTATTGATAATCTTATAATAATAATATCCCAAATAAAATGAATCATTTAAAACTAAGTGATTCCACTAAGTACAGTACTTGTTTTTTGAACATGGTTGGTTTACAAAAAATGCAAATTATTTTTGGTTTATTTATTTTTGTATTTCATGGAAGGTTAAATGACAGTAGGTATGATATGTATGATACAATCAGGTCATTGAATGAAGTTGATTTACAATCCAGGTCCTATGTGGATGGTCTTGTTGAGGAGATAAATGATAAGCTACATGAAACAGGTCAGATCACTGTGGCAGAACTTACTAAGCTGTATGATTTGCCAGCAACTTTTCTCTCTGAGGCAAGTATTGTGACAAATGCATAAAGTCTTGCATATTTAGATGAATGATAAATGTGCATTAGTGTAAATTATACACAAGATGTATTTTTATGCATTTTCATTGTGCCTTTTTTTTAAATATAGAATCAGAACCCCTTTACAATTTCAATGTTACTGAGATGCACCTGAAAATTTTTTAAGGACTGGGCCTCTAGGAAGACCAGTTTTGTACTGATAGAGCTACCCAGAATAAATATAGTTTTCAAATCAAATTAAATAAGGATGAACATCTTGGTAGAAAATCAATGTTCTACAAATGCAAGTATTAATAAATTTTTGATTTTTTCTGCAGGTTGTCCAAGACTACATAGGGAAGGGTATAGATGGAAGATTGGATGAGGCGAACCGTGGGGTGATATTCACAGAATCTTTTGTAGCTCGGCATCGATCAAAGATCCGTGGAGCATTCAGCGCTGTCACCAAACCTACTCCTCTAATGACTGTAATAAATCGGCTACAGCTACAAGAGCGTCTTTTTTATTGTAAGTTTATTTACTAAACATGTAATAATGGCTAATTGAATCAGCTATACCTAAAGAAATAGACATACAGAAAAGGTTGTATTTATCTTAGATTCAAGGCAAAATCAGTGCTCTTCAAAATAGAGTTGCAACAGTTATTTAAGTCACTACCAGTAGTTTTTACATCAATAATTGTAACATTACCAAATTACCAAAGGAAAGGATGTACATTGTGAACATAAGCCAAGAAGCCTATGGAATCTGACTGAAACTTCAATTGCAGAAATAAATTGGTATTCATTTCAGTAATTTCTGATTTGTTTGCGATCATTTCACAAAAGCATGTTTTTCATTGTACACATCGTTAGTTTACCAGTTGACTTGGCAGTACAGTGTATTATCTAACCTATGAGTACAATGTATTATCTAACCTATGAGTTCAGTGTATTATCTAACCTATGAGTTCAGTGTATTATCTAACCTATGAGTACAGTGTATTATCTAACCTATGAGTACAGTGTATTATCTAACCTATGCTTCCCTCATACATTTCAGCCATTCTTGAAGAATTGGTGAAAGGAGGAAGGTTAGCTGGGGCAATAAATGGAGGACGCAATGATAAATCAACCTACATCCCTGACATATATTCCAAAACACAGAATGACTGGGTTTCATCTTTCTATAACCAGAATGGTTATTTAGGTATATATCTTGAGTATATCTAAGTCTGTTGTAAATCTTAGTATGAGATTAGCACAGGATTTCATTCTGTGTTTTCATTAGCCTTGATACCCTTGGTTATAATGATTTTGGAATCACAAAAATTTAAATTTTAAATTGCTGATTATGTCCCTTATTTGCCGAGTACACATATTCATTATGAAATATTAATTTCTCAACAATTTATTGCAGAATACGATGCCATGGCAAGATTGGGTATAACTGATGCTAAGTCATACATCAAGAAAAACTTCAAGAAGGAAAATGTGGTATACCTGAGTACATGTTGTGTTGGGAAGATGCTACAAGATCAGATGGAGGCGCAGTTAGATGAGGCTTTGAGCAGTTCAGGATGGGTTGATGCTCAGGTTAGTATATTAGGGGAGAGTGGGGTGTCATGTTTTGAATTTAAATTTTGATGGAACGTGATAGAACAAGCAAGGAATGAAGTACCTGCTAGATATGTTATATCTCAATTGAGCAGAAATGCAAGCAGTGTCATTCAAGAGAGAAGAGGTAAGAATGCTAGTTATTTTAAAGCTAATAAGGTTGATGTGAGTTATTTGTTGACTAAGATGTCACTCAGTCATTTCAATCCATATCATGTTTGAATGAAGTATATTCAAAAGTTGACGAAAAATTACGCCAAAAATTACCACTTTCCAACAACATTGTTGGGAAAAGCATTGAAGTACAGTTAATACTGCTTAGGCAAGCAAAAAATATTCACATAGGGGATTTTGATAACATGTAATTTCCATATTCGTATACTTTACTACATGTGGATCTAAATAGTTTTATTTGGTAATTTTCTTTCAGCCTTTCCTACCCTCAATTCTTAGTGAGAAGGATGCAAATCAGTTGATCAACAGCACTCTGAAATCTAAACCTGGACTTCTGATTTTCTGTGATACAATCGTTGCCACGGAGAAATTCATTGCAGAATGTAAGAAGCCGTTTGATAAGATCATGGCTGAGAAGGCAGAAAAGGTACGTCATTTAGTGTAATTTAAAGTCATAAAATATGTGTTTAATCAGTTCATAAGTTTCTTGTCTTGACTATTTTTGAATTCACTATTTATTTCATATTCATTTCAGTCATGGAGAGGAAGGCATACAGTAATTAGATTAAAATTGTTCTTAAAATGTTCTTTCCTTTTGAAGTGTTATTCAATTTTTGTTGATGTTAAATTACTTTTAGGTCAGCTATGCTAAAACAAAATGATGAGTTTCTTTCATCGAAATGTTGATATATTGTCATTTGAAATTATTATCGTTTACTTTGAGTTTGATTATGATAAATATGTAAAATTTTATCTTATCCTAAATGGCAACTTAAAACATATATTAGTGTTAAGATATTTGTTAATTGTTTCCGTTAAATCCAAATTAGAAATTAGCCATCTCAATTTTATATATAGGATGCAAGAACTAACCCAGCCCTGTTTACTCAAGCATCTATGAAAGACGCTGGCTTGGAAGATACAGCTATGGGTAAACAAGATAGGAAGGACCAAAGAAAAAAGAAAGCTGCCAGTAAGAACATTAACTCAGATCTCGATGCTAGAGATAAGTCTGAAAAGACTCAAAGAACAAAGAGCCAAGTTTCACAACGTTATAAACCAAAATGGCTTTGATTTGATCAACATAACAAATTCTGGGTATGCAGCACACAAAATATCAGAGGTTTTTAACACAAATTTTGACAAAACAATGGCAAAGAATTCAAGTACATTATATGCAGTTAAACACAAGAGGAAGTTATCAAGAGTTAAATTTGAAGTAAATGAATTTATAGTTACAAGAAATTGTTTGTTTTCAGCTAGCACCAAGAGCGGAGGTGGCACACAGGGAAGAGAGGTGAAACAAAAAGCTACGAAAAACAAATATAAACGACGTGGAGACCATGATGACGATTCTGAAGATGAGGCTGTTGCCGTGCAACCTAAAGGTAGTTACATCAATATTGTTCATTATTTTAAAAAACATTTTTAAGCAGAGCCTCAACATATTTTAATCATACGCTCTTTCCAAGTACTACTAAGTACTAAAATGGTCGTCACCATTTGTATTTAATCTTAACTCTAGCAGTATCCAACCCCAAGTCAACTCAACGGTGACATGTGCAATTTCAGGTAGACGAAATGAAATCCCATTCATGACAAACGATGAGATTCAGGATGTCCTACAGAAGGGAAATGACACCCTCCCAGATGATATGGCAGCTGAAATAGCACAGCAGCTTCACAGGTGTGCTTTCTAGTTTTTTACACTATGTACATGTACTGTACATCAAGTATCTAGGTCAAAATGTGTTACTTCAAAAGAGTTATTTAAAAGGGCTTTTTACTCCTGGACTTAACGAAATTACTTTCATGTAAAAATGGTACAGGACATTACACTACCATTATTGTCCTATGTTACTGAAAATCAAAAGTTTTGGTGAAAGTGCTAACTAGTAAGAGAGCACAAATCACTATTTAGCTCATTCAAAAATGTCCATATTCTTAAAAAGCTAGTGTTTTTGCCATTTTTTTGCATCCTTAAAACTTTTTTTTGGAACCAGGGACTGGTTATTTTTACAAAAAAATCTCATCTGGGGTTTTCCTTTATTTTCACATATTTGTTACACCATGGCTGATTCCTTCCTCATTTTATTTCAAAACTATTTTATTAAAGGCCACTGACAAAGGAATACCAAGAAATAGCAAAGTCTGTCTTTCTACAGACATCAGGATCTGCAACTGGAACTGCAAGGAAAAAAACACATGGGGAACTTCAAGATAAAATTGGTGGTTTATGGACGAATGCAAAACTGTTTGAAAAAGGCATTAAATTATTTAATGGTATGTATTTCTTAAGTATTGACAAATATATTGTTTTAAAGTGGAGTATTATTGAGACAACATCTATATTACAACTTCAATTCACTTAAAGCAGTGGCAATGCCCCTTTTGGGCAATTACACCGTGAATATGATTAATATTTATTTATTAATCTTTGAAATATATAGTATTTATGAATAAAAAGATTGAGACAACACTGAAGGCAGTATGACAATAATATATCAACCTACCACAAAATGTATTATTTGAATTTCAGAGGAGACCCAAACTCAACTCAGTAAACATATGTTAAAGACAATATGTTCTGATATCACCAATTTAGCATTTGGCACTATTGCTACACAGAATATGATGTCTGTGAGTGAAGACACACAAATGAATGCTGATGTAAGTACATGGAACAGGTGAATCTCAATTATAAATGTACAAGTTCTTATATACAGTGAAGTATATCTGAACACCTCCCCCCACTTGTGGTGGTGACATACTGTCTCTAAATTTTTTGGTGGATGGGTTCGCTGGTTGGTGTTTGGCATTTGGTTGTCAGTTGTTGGTGTGGCATCTGTAACAAATGGCAGGTGTGGACATTTTGCATGTTAATGTCTTGTTGTTTCTAGTTTGTATCACACAGCATACATAATGTATGAATTAATATAAGTATCATATTATACTCTAGTTATTACATGTATTATTAGAAATATACTGTTACAGCATTCATTTGTTTCAGGTTCGAGTAAAGCTGCTATCAAAGTTACCAGAGAACTCTAAATCTGTGCTCAGTAAGCTTCATACATCACTAAGTGGCAAGGTATGGTAGAGATTAATCCACTTTTCAATTGAAGGTTTCATTGGTTATTAGAAATCAACCTCAATCCCTTTGATAATGTCACAACCTCTGATCTATCCTTACCAAAAGTGACCTTCTTACTTATAATGTTCATGACATCAAATTTATGGGTGCTTTTTATTTGAAGCTTCTAGCTCAATTTTGAAGGAAATTGCATCAATTCTTGTAAAATTCAAAATAAATTTTGTTTTTGCCACGATCACACCCCCCTGACTGAAAACAGAAATTTTTTGGGCGATCGCACCCCCTGACTGAAAGCTGGCTACGCCCCTGGCTAGGTTGGTATTTCCTTGCATCCATATTTGACCTGACATTTGAATAATTTATCCACATTTAATCTGACTATTTTTTGAGAAAAATGTCATTGAAACAGTAATTGATCTAAATCTTCATTTTTTCTCAAACCGAATTTTACAACTTCCCCCAACAGGTGTGAGTAGTCTCAAAATGACCTTTCCAGATCTCAGTATACATGACAAATCATAACAAATGTGACATATTGGAACAGCAAATGATGGTACATTTACATGTATGTCTATTTATTTATTTACAGAGTTTGGAAGATTTTTTTAATTGTCTGGACACGGTTTGTGGACAAGGTCACCTCGAACTATTCCTGAAAAAGCCTGACAAGAAAAAAGAAAGGTATTGTTTGACCAGTGTATTGGAATGAAATATGTTAATTGTTAATTATTTACCATTACAGTCCAGATTACTTTTTACAAAACCTTTTTAGCGGAGTTGGAAATGAATTTGTAACTCTTGGATAGAATACTCAGCATATGTTCATTCCTTTCACTGGTACTAGGATTAATATGTGGAGAATACACTAAAAATGGCAGACATTTTTCGATTCACATGTGGTCAAATTCACCACTCACTACATGTTTCTAATACTCACATATAAAAGCTCAATTCATGTTTTCTTTTTCAGACAACTAGTGTTCAATCATCGGTTAGCCCTTGCAGAGCAGTTACGGAACGAATATGAACCTGCTATGGCTCTACACCTGGCCAGTGTGATCATATTCCAAACCTATACCCAGTGTATGGTACATGCCCCTGGTAAAGTTGTCCCACAGATCATCACATTTTTAGGTCAACAAATGACCAACAAGGAGCAGCATGAAGTGCTAGTGAAATATCAAGGTAGCATTAAATTGAACCTAATAAATAACAAAATTGTGTACAGATTGGAAAATATAGATTTAGGCTATTTGGAGTGTTTACTGTAATAGTGTTGTACTTGTAGTATATTTAGTAACAATAAAACAAAACAAAGGTATTGAAGAACCATTATTTGCAATATTGGTCATCTCCTTATGTGATGTCACTAGGTCATATGACCGACCTCTCAGACTAATAAAGAAAATGGTGTGTCAAATTCCTGACCCACTATGGAGGGATCTCATACAAACCTTTGAATAGTGTATTATCTATTACTTGCAGATCTGGTAGTGGAACAAATGAAGAAACAAGGGGAAGATAGTGAAGATAAAGACATTGAGAACATAAAGCACGAACTAAATGAACTGTTACCTAAAATTAAAGAAATTGCCTTAACTGCCAAGAAATCCAATGCACAAGCTGCAGAAGATTGAGCTTTACTGCTAGATTGTATCCCAAACTGATGGAATGGTCAGTGGTTGAGTTGCATTTGGGTTTCAATATACAACTTGACATTTGATTTTATATGTGGAACATTGAGGTTTAATGGCTATAAACTTTATACCACCTGGAAAGAGGACCATATATATGGACCACGGTCTTAGTCCATCTTTATATCCACCGTCTTTACTATATCTGCAAGAACTACTTTAAGCCTGGCATTCATTGAATTGACCTATACTATACCACATAACAGACCATAGTCTTGTATTAAGATTTATGCTAAGTATGATAACCCGTTGTTGGAGATTTCAAATTATAAGATCACCCAGTGATTATATAAACTCGCTCATACTTGAATTATATTTTTTTGATTATCAATCAAGAGGACGATTAGTGTCTATGTGCAATCATTTAAATGTCAATAAATCGTTTACTGTGCAAACTAAACCTTTTTATGAATTATTTACTTCTTCATTGTACTTATTTCCAGCCAGTTTGACTCCTTCCTATTCTGGTGACAGATTTCTTTAAGAGTATATGTTATGATATGGTGTGTACCTTATGATACTAATACGTCTGTCTTAAGCAGTTAAGGTAGTGATCAGCTAGAGATGAATATTTTGAACAATATCTGAAAGTCTCTGCTCAAAAATATTATATTATGAACTGCTAATGAAATGATAATATCGAATGATCAATTTGATTAGTCATAGTCAACAGGTACATACAATTTATACAAGTTAGTTACGCAATGGATGGTTTAGCTCTCATCCCCCTTTGACCACCTGTACTGTTGCAGGCAAAAGTACAATATGCCTTTTGGGCAGTTTTTAACAGTTTTTAGTGGCATTCTGTGTCCTGCATGCCTTCATAATACAGGGTGTCCCAGAACGCATGAGAAATTTTTGAGGGAGATACAAGGCTTGATTGATTTTTCTTCTTTGGTGCACTTTTTTTGCTAACACTTGTAATAGCAAATAACGTCTGAATACAATGGTATGAGAATAGTTGCATATGATAACTTTGATTTTGTTAAGGGCAATGCTCCAATTCAATTCGATGAAAACAAAGTATATCGAAATCGAAACGTATCGCCCGTCATTTTGAAAGAGAAGGTAAAGACGGAATAGGTTGATCGAGGAACCTTGCAATTTTAACTACGGGTATCATATAGAATCGAACAAACCGACTCATGTTGGTTTGACAAATTTATTATACAATTCTGTACAGTTTTAAAATGACACACAGTTCACACCATATTGTACATACAATGTCTAAATACATTTACTAAACAATTTATAAAACATAGGAGTGGGACTCATCTCACAAGCGTTTGAAATCAAGAATCTATGATATATTTTATACATCAACCTCGAGTTCATATCAAAATACATTCTGATTTACCGAGTCTCTCTTTACATGTATCTAAATCTTGAGATCTCTTTATTCCAAGGGGTAGTTGAAACTGTGGATCTCTTTCAACATCCCTTTCAATGTAACTTATGTACAAATATGATCAGATATGAAATATCTGTAATCCCGGTGGAGTTTGAATTTAGTTAGACCGAACAGAAAGAGCATTTTTAGCTTCAATTTTTCAAGTATAGTTTTACACTATTGGTCTAAATCTAAACAACCAAACTTCGGTGGCTACGGGAAGAAACGCATAGAGTATGAAAAAGCTGGTTATTGTCGTTTTATTTGGTAGTCTGTGAACGTTTTGTAGTGCTTCTTGACCTGCCAACAGGGTCATCACATTCCAAAAACATCAGTAGTTTTAAATTGACGGGAATTCATCTGTTTTTCCACAATTTAGGAATAACCTAAGAAATATTTTGATATTGAACAAAGATTCTACATTTTTGGGTGTAACGATTGAACTCGATATATGGGAACATGATGAGCGTATTGCCAGGTGATGAAATAGAAATAACGTCCACAGACGACAAAATAAAACCACACCTACTTTTCCATCCCCTGGTTGCAGTGGTAGTAGCCCTATATTACAAACCACATTTTACGACGTTTTTGGTATTTTCAATTTGGACAGAAGTTGAAATTTGAAATTTTGAAGACTACCACTGCCATAAGAGCCTTGTCTCTGAAACCAAACTTTTAAAATTCTCAACAACCTGCCATTTCACCGTCAACATATTTTAAACAAAGCTTTTTCCCCTCAAAGGGTTGAAAATCGCTAGACTAGCTAGATATAGCGAGGAATACGTGACATGTGAATTTATAATTTATAAAAGGTTATAATAAAAAGTAATCAATCCACTAACTATCTGCGATTTTTTAGTCGATTTTTTCAACAGAAATAAGCGCTGACTCCCTTTAAGCAATGTTTCAATGTAGTTAAATAACACATCATTACAAGCTGTATGACACAAAACCTGAAAACGGAATACTGCAAGGCACTTAGTTGGATGTTATATAGAGTATTGTTTGTACAAAAACGGAAGACATTACAATACTGTACAATTCTGTAAGAGACTTGGTACTACATTTGTTGGTGATCCATTGCTGATAAAAGGGATAACAAAGATCTGCAATTTAGATGAGCTGATATTAACATCCTTTAAAGATTGTCACAATATTACAATATTGCTAACAGAACTAACAGCCTAACAGGCTATTTAATGATAAACCTTCGATTTTTAATTCGATTCCATATTTTATCAGTTATCATTTATATTTTTCAGATTGTAAAATTATTGGAAGGAATTGTATTGTTTTGTACAAGTAAAATTCTTTCCACTATCTATTCTTTGCTTCCACTTTGATAAGTATGTTTTGATTATGTAGTAGGTAGTGACACTTTTCATATTTCATAAGTTCAGTTGCTCCTAGAAACAGTTTTCTTTATGTGAATGTTTCATGTGGCGTTTGAAAATCACGCGTGCGCAATTCACTCTGAATTGCAGAATTAGATTGTGCTGGTGATGAGATTGAAAAGCAAGGAACATTGCCCTAACAATTTGAATTTCCATTGTGTAAACGCATAAAGTTCATTCATATATGTTTCCTTGATAGAGTAATTGCATCTTAAATCAGCCCAAGCATTTAATTATGCACAAACTCCCCTTGCTTCGTTTGTAAATGATATATCATCTTATTTGGCACTATTTCATTCGATATATCGATGTAGCTGATGTCTTCTTTACCATGTCGTACTTGTTTGAATGTCCATATAGTAATGTTCAGTCTCCAAGCTAGGCATTCTAGGCAAGCTAGCGCGTGTTCGAGCTGGTGTTCACCATATCAAAAATAAATCCTCTGCATATTTGTTTTACTAAGAATATTGGTCTTTAGAAGATGGTGGTAATGGATAGCCTGCTGGGGCGTAGTTGCCGGTTAACGGCATCATCGTGAGTCCGTTTGTCTCGATATTGTTCATCTCTTCAGCTTCAATCTCCTTCCTGCGTTTCCGACTTGGCCGTGAACTCCCACCGTTACATTTGACGGCTAATCTCAATTCACTGGTTATCTCAGAACAGAGCGACTGCTGGAAAATAGTACAATAAGTCACTGTCCCTTTTTAGATACATGTATACAGCTTTGTCCATCAGGTAGACATAAAGTTAGAGTTAACTGGTCAAAATTATCATAGTGGGTTAAACTACTTAAAAGAAGCATTAAAATTAAGGATTTCTTTCATCATTTTTTGAAGCTCGAGATTCTATGATTTATGGTATGATATCTATTTACTGGAAACAATCTGCAAAAAGATGGTAAACTTGGGTTTTGCATGAATAGTCACGCTCATCCACTGCAACAATACTGTCAAATTCCACTACATTTGACATACCCACCGGAACCACCAGTGGCCCATATTGACACCTAAGATCTAATAATAATTGTAAATTCAACATTAAAACATAATATGATCATTTGGTGTTTTTGTATCATTTTTGCTCACAAAAGTGCATTCCCAAATATCCAGCAGAAGCAATGTGTTGGCTAAGCAGATGCAAACAGTTTACCTGTACTATTGTTACACGTGGCTATGGACTACAGATACACAACAATGCAAATTCAGTCATAAGCATTAGAAACATAAAACCGTGTTATTATGAGTACCAGATAAAGCTCTAAATGACAAAACACACAACACAATCTATACTATTACAACATCAATTCTAAACATTACGTTGTTTCGTTAAAGGGAGTTTGCATACGATGTAACGAGCGCAAAGAACTAAAGAAAGAGGGTCTATAGAGCTAATCTTGTATCCGCGAATGCAACTTTCGGCTGCCGGATTAACCTACTATTTTTGACCAACTCAATGAAATATGAATAGAACCTGCCACTATTCCATCCATATTCAAATGAGTAGATTAATCCGGTGGCCGACAGTCGTTATTTGCAGTCGCGAATACATGCTAATGGAATGCATAGGGATCTCCTATAACACGAGGCAAAGGAGCTCAAAATATATGAAATAAGAATTCCAGGTACACTCGATAGACCCCTACTACTGAAGTAAAACTCAATAACAAATAAAAAAAGAATATTTGTCATATCATATTATATAAATTTGCAACACATATACTGTATATAATTAGAATAACCCCCTGTGCAAGGTGTACATAAAACATTAAAATTGTGAAGCAAGGAAACTCAGGAAAATCTATGGGAAAAACAACGCTGAAATGGGAAAAATGGGACATTACCTTCTGTTTGTAGCCCCATGCCTGTTATTTGGGAATGGAAAATGTATGTTATATTTGATTTTGTGAATAGTTTTTGATTCACGTATATGAATAAATTATATATTATGAGTAAAGTATGTAACAAATATGTAGTGTTCAAGGTACACAGCAGATTCACTGATACACAACACATATCACATACTAGTAACTATTAGTAATTTTGGTATATTTTAGTGACATTAAATTATACACATCATGGCATATACTCAATATAATAACGTCATCTAAACATAACGTAACAACCGTTACACAATACACCAACATAACATGTGATTTCTAATCTATCCGTGATATGCCTTTACAAATTAACACAAAAATCAACAATAATTGGGCTGACATTACGTACCTTTTCCTCTTTTGCATATTTACGTGACTTCCAAATGAACTCAAACAATGCGGCAATAATAGCAAGTCCCAATCCTCCAGCGAGAACCACGAACACACCTCCTACATTCTTTGGACCAAGTTCATTGGCGTTCGTCTTTTTATTGTCCTCAGTGTCGCATTTTCCTCCACCACCCTTTTCTTTCCACCATCTATTGTAGAGTATTTGCAATTTTTGCTCTTCTGCTAGTTTCAATATTGCATTTGAAATTAGGTCTCTGTATGGTGAATCTGCAAATATTTGATTGGTTCTTTTGATTTAAAGATGCGATTGTTGTAATAATGCTGACTAAATTTGAAATTTGAAAATCAGATATTTATATTTCAAAAATACACTTTCATGTATGTATGTGTGTTTGTTTAATGCTATCGATATACCTGCTATGATGATACAAAACAGTACCCTTAAATAAGTTATATAAGTGCTTTAAAAATTTTATGTAATTTTATTTCCAAATTTAAGGATAATGAAACAATTGTTTTTTTTGTTTTGTTTTTTTATAGTTTTCGGTTGTTGTTTTATACATACCCCTCGGTGTACCAATCCCATAACCCTTTGAGTCCAGCAATCCTCCAACCTGCATAAGTTCACAGTTACGTTGTGTCGTGTATTCGTTTGTCGTGGATTCTACGAGAAATGCATATTTCTCTTTCTTGACTCTCTCAATCCCCTCTGGCACTGTAGCCGTGAATACAGATGGCGTGGCAGATTCCATGAAATTCCACATTCTTTCATATGTCTGGATTTTAGATGTCTATAATGAAGAAGGGGATGCGGATAAAGCGGCGTCTTGATAAAATTATATTTGAGCTTACGAAAAAGTGGTGCCTCGATGGATCATCAGTTGAACTTTGTGAATAAAGTTTTGCCTTCATGAATCATGGGTTGAGGAAAATGTGTATTGATGGAATCATAATTTGGACTTTACCAAAATAATGGTATATTGATGAAATCATAATTTGGACTTTACCAAAATAATGGTATATTGATGAAATCATAATTTGGACTTTATCAATTTAATGGTATATTGATGGTTAATAGGTGCCTTGATTGATCATTGTTCGAGCTTTACCAAAAAATGCTGCCTTCATGGAATCATATGTTAAGCTTTTCGAATAAAATTATGTCTTTATTGGATCAAGGCTGCATTCACTTGATTTTGAACATTAAAGAGAATCGAAATATAATGCTGAGACAACAATACACTGTATGGCACACAAAATGGTTACAACAAACCTCAATGACACAGACACAATACTTCATCATCATCTTATATATAACATTATAGTGCAGTTAGAACTTCTAACTACTGGGATTCTATATACTTAAATATGTGCAAACAAACACATTGTGCAAGGTCTACAGTATACTATCTAGTGATCATTTGTATTTATATGCGACAAACATGAAAAAAAGTTTCGTCGTGTTCAGACACACCTAGTTACACTAATTGTAGTGTCGCAGAATAACGGTACAATCAATAAGTGTGACAATTAAATGTAAGATCGAGGAAAACAATCATTCGATACACTATATCATAATCGCGGCTAGTGCTACCCATATAAAAAAGTTCAGCTATCCACAAACATTGAAAGCAAACATTATACTCTACCATGCATTATATGTATAATATGCCAAAAGCAAAAGTATAGTGTGCATGTAATTTGATTTGATTAAATGTCTTTCTATGCAAAACAGCAATAGTTGATGGGAAAGAGACAATAATAACCGAAACACCATAATAAGACACAACACAGGTGAAGAACTTTAAGAGAATAGATAATTCAATTTAGAGCGTAGATTCTCCGCCGCAAGTTTTAAGCAATCGGTAGTTCCCCTTTTGGATTACTTATCAAAACCTATTTTGTTTGACGATTTAAGAATAATCAAATTTGTGATAAATTTCCAAACTACTGGAATTAAAAAAATCAAGATTCAAACATTCAGGTTTTGTTATGCCATATCCAGTGAAAATTACCGGTTGCCAAATTTATGGAGGGGAGTGTAATATCCAATCATGCAAAGCAGCCAATCCATACAGCTTTGAACCATACGACATTAACAGTATGACAATCATAGATACCAGGGCAGGAGCAGTTTCACTACCTTGAAAAATGTCAAAGTGGCGCCCCCTGCGACTGACCCATATTTTATTTCGTTCTGCTTGGCTAAATCATCAGCATTTTCTATAGGAGACTGCATTCTTTCCACGGTCAAGAATGCAGCTAGGTTAGCAGTATATGATGATATCATGATTAGCGTGAAAAACCACCATATACCACTGACTAACCTCGTTGATATAGCACGAGGGCCAAACTCGGAACCTAAAAATAGTTAGCATGTGTTAGTCGAGATTAATTAATTATTAATGTTGTGCGAGAGTAACGTGAATGATTGTTAGAATGATGATGGGTGGCTAGGCGGGCTAGGCATCACTCTACATAATACCTTGAAGAAAGAACGCGTTGATCCACCACGCGTGCTTCCGTAACTAATATCAGTCTGTGAAGCTAGATCCACTACATTCTTTATGGGCACGACCATCCTTTGGACAGTGAGGAAGGCCGCGAGGTTAGCGGTGTAAGATGAGATTATGATTAGGGTGAAAAACCACCAGATGGCGCTTATAAGACGTGTAGAGTTTGCCTTGGGAGCCACTTCACAACCTGTAATCATGTTTGAAAGAAATAGTCCACTATTAAAATACTATGATTGTGTTAACAGAATAGGTCACCTCCAAACTAAGGTATTATCACACTTTGGACAGTGTACCTTAAAAAATGAAACCGTTGATCCCCCTTCTGATGTGCCATATTTTATATCTGTTTGTCTTGAGAGATCGTCTGCACTTTCAATGGTTGGTACCATCTTTTCTACTGTCAAAAAAGCTGCCAAGTTTGCCGTGTAAGATGAAATCATGATAAGGGTAAAAAACCACCAACATACTCCAACTATTCTGGTTGATGTTGCTGCTGGCATAACTTCACATCCTGAAAGCAGTATATTTGAAGCAAGCATGTTAATGGAAGACGAAGCATTATGCCGCAGGCCCTTTATGAATCTGAAAATAATACCTTAAAGAAATTTTCAGTGGAGCCTCCCATACTTGTTCCATAAGGGATAGCAGTTTGCTTTGAAAGATCGTCTGCGTTTTCAATTGGTGAATTCATCTTCTCGACCGTGAGGAAGGCTGCGAGATTTGCCGTATATGACGAGATTATAATAAGTGTGAAGAAGTACCACACTGCTGAGAGCACTCGGGTGGATGTTGCATTTGGGACAATATCTGAACCTATGGTGCAAATGCATGCATTCATATATACAAGAATATTAATTAATAATGACATATTAGATGTTTAATATAATATGTTTATTCTACTGTTTTCCCAGGGAAATATGAAGGAATAAAAATCGTATTGAATCGTATTACATGAAAAAATCGTATTGTCCCCGGGAAAAAAATCGTATTGGAGCGTATCACATGAAAAAATCGTATTGTCCCCGGGAAAATAATCGTATTGGAACGTACTAACCTATTTTTGGTTTTCCTGTTATTTTTAACCTTACCTAATTGATAAAAGTATTTTCAAAATGTAACATTTTAGTGGAATGTATTATGGAATAAATAGGTTATTTCTGGTCGGAATTGAATATGGGTTTCATTCCTCGGAAAATATGATATTGACCTTGGGAAATATCATATTGACACTCGGTCGCTGCGCTCCCTCGGTCAATATCATATTACCCTTCGGTCAATATCATATTGTCCCTCGGAATAAAACCCATATTCAATCCTTCCCAGTAAATAACCTATATGTATCAATCTAGTCCAGGCTCAACGAAATACTTAGAAACACGGTTGCAATATCACAATCATAAGAGACTTATATGTGCGTATATCAAAATTATTTTTAAAATATTTGAGCATATCCTTGGTGTACACATGCTATATTCATCATTTTACCATGCATTTCAATTTTGTATCTTGTTGACTGTGTAAATTATTAGTTGACCTTTCATAAATACATGTATGTTACAAAATCACAAATCATAATCCATAAGATATACAAGAAGAAACCCACGAAGTTCAATACGATCTGATTCAAGTACAGGGTGGTCAAAAAATGTCTTTGTCATTTCAGGATATTACTCCCTGATATTTCACACATTTGTACATCATTCAATTTCCAACCACCCTACCAAATTTCATGACCATCAGACTGATAGTCACAATTTTACAGCAGTTTGAATAACATGCTTCAATTTTGGCCATCATCGCGCTGTGGGCAAACATGCACAGTTGTCAATGGGCCGAATGCATTTCTCAGCAGGTATGGCCTGAATGATACGGATGATCTCACTTTTGAGGTTTGTGATTGTCCTGAGGTCATTCTCATACACTTTTTCCTTGCCATACCCCTACAGGTAGGGACATTTTGAACAGCGAGTGCATGTGGCCCGACAGCACAATAGTGGCTACTAGGGCTGTTCTGTAAAGTGCTGTAACATTGTTAATATCAATCTGATGGTCATGAAATGAAGTAGGCTGGTAGGAAATTGAATGATGTACAGATGTGCAAAATATCAGGGAGTTATTTCTTAAAATGACAAATATATGAGGAAAATGGTGTAAGGGTTTCCATTTTTTTGACCACCCTGTATTCAAAGAAACAATTCTAGTCTTTTGACGCGTTTTTGAACCTATACAGTATGTATTCTATGAACCTTACAAGTATTAGCTGATAACAATGATTGACTGATCGTGTCTTAAATATGCGGAATTTTAACCCTATCCTATCCATATTCAATGGAATATATAGAAAACAAAATAAAAACATCAACGTTTCAAACTTTTATCAATTTAAATTGGAAGCAATTTAACAATAGTATGATACACTACACTAACGAACGATGGCTCACCTTGCTGCATAAGCGATCCTATTGTAAACCAAAGACTGTTAAGTAGAGTGAATTGGTTCTCTACAACATCCGATTCAGGATTACATGGATGAGGATTGTACCATTCATAAGGACTGAACCTCGCCAGAATGAACAGCATAAAACTTACACCTGCGTGGTGAAAAAACAAGACATAAATTGGAATATTATTTACATGTATTATTTACATGGATGGGCCAATGAAGCTCACACATGGTCATCTTAGTGTTTTAAATATAAATATATACAAGACTACACGAATAATCAATAATTAAACATTTATATCATACCATCCAAGTACCAAGTACCATCTTTTTTAACATAAACTTTGATCATCCACTAACATTTTCAAGCAAATAAACTGTTGATTTACCTAAATATGCTGCGATCATGTAAAGCCAGATTTCAACAGACAAGGGTGCCAGAAAGGAGAAAAGTTCTGGGTTTTTCTTCATTGGTTTCTTGTAAAGAATACTTATGCCAAGATTCATGTATGGTTTTGTGAAGTCTATAAATTGTTCTCGTAGGTAAGTGATTGTTAGTGAAGCCACTGCCAAATCTGCTTTCTGGAATAGAGAATTACAAGTTCGTGAACTAGGCATCAATAAAGCAGAAACCGTTACATTTATCCAAAACAGACAGTCTACTTAGAATGAATACCAATGAGTAGAAAGTTGTTAGCAAAATACAAACTCGTTCATGCCATAGAACCGGAAGAGAAATTAATCACTTTGGCCAAATTTACTAAAACCACTATAACAATATACAGGGTGGGCCAAAAAACCGCCACTTTTTTTTCAAGACACTATAACTTTTTTATTTTCCAACCTACATACCCCAAACTTTGCAGTTATATAGTGTCAGGGGTTCTTAGTAATAATATAATGTAACAAGTCCTTCAACTTTGATAATATTTTATTTGATCTAAAAGAGGAGTTCAATTGATCCGCCACCCTATTTGATGATAGATTTTAGTTTAAGTCGCCTTGCTGATATAGCAGTATCAATGGAATGTTAGCTAAATTTTTTTCAACATGTCTTAATTGCCAGCTTTAGTTGAGCAATGGTTTAGATTGGGTGCCTTCATACATCTCCTGGGGACCTTCCCATACCCTAAACTCACTGGGGTTTGCATCAGGGCTATTAGCTTGGCGGTCATCAGGCCATATCAGTTCAGGAACATTTTGCAAATTATGCTTATTTCTCATGACACACCACATGTTTAAGTGAGACGCTGGTGACACATTGTATTCAAGTAAAAGTGTACAATTCATAATCCATGGCTAGATAACAACTTCAAAGTTTCATTTGGTATGCAAATTATGATTTTGTACCAAAAATTAAAAAAGTTATAGCATTTTGAAAAAAAGTGGCGTTCTTTTGGCCCACCCTGTATATTAAAGCTAAACGAAACGTCAACTTTTTCTAACAGATACTATTAAGAAGCATGGGACATAATTCCATCGCCAATTCTCATTTAAAGTGATGCATAAAATAGAAAAAATTAACCATTTACTAATTAAAAGCAAAGAGACGTACCCTATCAATAAGTTCCCTGACCACACCAGACCATTCGCCATCTTTGTTTTGGGCTCCATATTGCCCATCAGCTACAGGTATAATGGTATAGTTAAACTTAAGATGATTGGCTATATTTTCTAAAAGGTCTATACAATAACCCTCAAATCTATCATTACCCTGTAAAATACCATCCGGATCTTCTTTCGCCATTGCATACGGAGGTTCCTGAAAAGCAATTTCACATTGAGCTTTAATTGATACATATTTGCATTAGTATCCACGTGAAATGTTTGATAGATTTTAATTTCATGTAACTTATACGTCCATTCTACTTCATATAATTAAAGAAAATAAAACAATGTATGTATCTATTTTTTTTATAAAAATCAAAACATCTCGTTGGGTCAGTGCTTGAGGTTTTGTTTTGTTTTTCCGGTTGTAGGCCTATTCTTTTTAACCGTGGACTAACTGATTTTGGTCTTTCCAATTTTTGGTATTTTAGAACGAGGTCCTCATTAACAATGGATGCAGGACTTACCAATACAGTTGTGACGATCAACGTTTTGTTCTTAAGTGAGTGTTTCACTTGTTGTTTGACCTTATTGTAATCTTTAGTTATATTAACACCTTTTTTAGGGTCCCACCTGCCAATCTATAAGTTAAGAAGACACGAGAGAATTAGACGGTTGAAAAGACTAAAGCAAATGTATACATGTATGTACGAGTTTAATCAATCGTCTATTTGCGTATTCATTTTTATTAATTTTTTAAGAAGCTTGTTGCATTCAATCTCGAACTAGTATTGTTGTAGATCAGTTTACACATGTGAAACGTCATTGGTCATCTTAAAGAAGACAATGATTTTACCTCAAAAACTTCAGTTGCAATACAATTCATCATGTACCAAAAACTGACCCTAAGTACAAATGTACATACCTTTTCTAGTCCCCCTGTTCCAAGCTCCGTGACGTCCAATTGGAAGTTAGACCTCTGGCCATTGTTATCATACACAACACTTCCAGAGAGACCATCGATGTCAGTCTGGAAAAGTTATGACAAGTTTGATATAATATTTAAAATCCCGCAAGAATTGACTATCCTTAAAATGATGAATAATAATATTTGTTTTGACCCCTGACTTGGCAAAGCCTACTATGATTCTCTCTGCAAAATGGTGACCAAATTTGAGTAAAACTAGGCCTATTAGATTGTATATGTAGGTCCAAGATAGTAAAATAAGTCTCACACATAAGGGTTGCGTTGCCGTGCAATTTTTGATAGAATATTACATTATATCATACATTATACAGTAAAATATAGGTAGCAAACATGGCAAATAAACACTTACAATTTTCATATAATTGAGCAAACTGTTGCCATGCGCCCAGGGCTGGGCCTTACTACAGGAGAGGGATTTGGTTCTGACGTCAGACGCGGCAGACAAGGAGTGGAGAGCTTTCGCAAAGAGGTGGACGGCATCGTACATTAAGGCAGTTTCAGTCTGAAAATTAAATTATTGAAAATTGTATCTATGAAATAAAGAAATATGATATCAGCTAATCGGCGCTTAATATGAACACACAATTCTCTTAATGATGTATGAACAATACATATGTATCGTACTCATTTTTTTAGTGTTATTATGAAAGTCCATCCAAAATTCAAAAGTACACATATCAAGAATGGGATATAATCCTAAACTTCGAAACGTTACATTTAGGGTCCAAACAGTGAACAATACACATTTTTGACGATGACGTGCAAAATACGCAAACAAGTACGTAAAATGAAAATAAAAAACTAATTGTAAAATGTGACATTGCTGAAATTGCCGATGAAGCAATTTACAAATACATAGTAAGTGAATACGTGAAGTAAATAGTTTTCCAAACGTGCAAAAATATTAAGAAATTCAATTCGGAACACAAGCACTATATATTGAAGTTAATAAGGTATTGGGAAGCCACATATGAATATAGTAGATTCAGTTGGTAACTCTATAGTGACTATAGTGCAGTAGTTCACAATAAATTTCTCCAATATATACAATATATAAATAATAGAAGGAAAATTACAGCACATACAGTTAAGACAGTAAAGACGACAAGAGAAAGTGCGAACATATATATAACTGCTTAGATATAAACAACCTACCACAACCGAATCACTATTACCCGAATGTTCAACAGTAACATTCACAGTTTCATTTAATGTTACATTCTATCCATGTCAGCATAAATATAAAGCAAATTAATCCAATGTGTTTGCTAAGTGTGCCCAGCCATTAACAGGGAAAGTGATTTATAAGTAATTTATTTTAATGATCACGACATAGCGATGAGCACATTCGTGTCAACATGTTCCAATAACACTTTGACACACAAATCAAGACAAATATCTGTAATAAAATTGACGGGTATATTGTATTGTGGCTTATTATCCTTTACTCTTCGATGTAATCATGAAATCGTTATCACATTTTTATCACAGATATAAAAGCAATGTGGTCTGATAACATCAAGTTATAGAGTTTGCACTCGTACAACACCAAAGCCATGGCATCAACTACACTGTACAAATTCAACATTAAATAGCTTGATTTATGTTTTTACATATCAGTTTATCATACAGGGTTTTATATTTAATTACAAAGTAAAATAAAATATGACATTAACATCGAAATAATATTTAAAAAATCAGCATAGATATATATTTAGGAATGTGAAATATCGTATTAAAAAGTGAAAACTAAATAATTCATCCAATGTTTTTGCAAAATGTGCCCAGCCATTAAAAAGGAAAGTAATTTCAACGTTCATTTAAAACTATTTAGAATATATCAAGAGAACATATGATTACACAGGAGATTTGTTGTTATGATGTGATTCAGAGAAGTAACTCGCAGGCAAGCCTGGCCTTTTAAATCATCAAATCCTAACCCAAGTAATCTTGATTCAACATAATTATTTATCATGGCCATCAGTGTAATACCTGAATGCTTTGCATGCTGGGTATTAGGTTTCTTCTCTTCCATGCTGGTAGCACAGCTTGTACTTGCGGGCGAGAGGGGTCAACAAGGCGGAATGCTGTAATATTAGTACCACCATAGCGGAAGTCATTGAGATCGACCAGATCCAAATCCTGAAATATAATAGCATATAATGAATATGATAGCATATACAATCCCGGATAATACACGTATTTAACGTATACATAAAAATATTGGGTGAGACTTGAGATAATGTATGCGGCGCCAGTCAAAATTGAAACTTCTGATTGGGTTCGAAGCCGAGATGCCCGGATATGCCCAAGCAAAAGCCAGAATTCACGTGATTTTTCACGAAGAAGGGGCGGAGTTTAAGCGAGATCCATCGAGACTTCTCCATTTAAGGAAAGTGTCAGTCCGCTTATAACTCCGCCTTTTTGCCCTTAAATGGAGAATGCCATTTTCGAAGGGGTCCTTTTTAGGGGAGATTTTCATCGGTTTTTTCCTAGATCTTTGACGTTTATGGAGTTATTTCAACCATTCTTTGTCAGTGTACACCTCTCGCCAATATTCATCTTAATAACCTATTGCCGAGTAATTTATTTTTTTGATTTGACAAAAATTCGATCAGAAACTACCTATTACGAAAAACTCCAGTGATATATTTTAGCTAGGCTTGGTCCAAGGGGCCCGTCTTAAGTGCGTGTTGAATTAAATGGAGCCCGGGTGTCGTAGTGATGAGTTTGAATTATGTCGATTATTCGATTGTTATATATAAATAAACATCGATCTTCGGCGAAGATAAAGTAAGAACAACATATATATCCGAGAAACATGTTGGTAAGTACAGTATTTCATTTATAATGGCAGAAAATCAAATTGAATCGAAATCGAATTTTCAACTTTTTCAATTTTTTTCGTTCGATTATTTTGATTTTCAATTTGATTTTTACATTCTATTTTCTTCGTCCTGCGGGACTATACTAGGCAAAGGCCCGGAACATGTATAACATTGGAGTCAAATTCACTTATAGACCATGCTGTAAGCTTTATTTCTTTACATTTTTACGGGCCTATGCCTGGGCTATGATTCTAGGCCTAGACTACTAGATCTATAGGACTTAGACTAGCCTAAAGCTAGAGCCTAGTTGAAAGCCCGTGCTTAGATCTAGCTCTTTCAGAGGCTGTGACTGATCTGTTAGAACAGCCTTTAGAGCCCGCTATCAACCGCTTCAAAATTGTGTTAGTCAGTTAGTGTCCTCCTTGCGAAAATTGAAAAAAATTAAAAGGTGCTTCTGTGCCGAACAGCAAATTCTCATTATACGTTGAGAAGATACTCTTTACCAAGAAACCAAAAATGGAAGTTTTGACGGAAAGACATGACGTACAAGTCAAAATCTCTGAATCTTGCTAGGTACATGACAGATAAAGAGAATTTAAATCCTGATCGGCAAAGAAGCGGCTAATAACTTACATATTTTCTCAACAAAAAGCACTGATGTAGCTCACATTGGGAGATAGTAATAAGCACTTGAAGTTGATTTCAGTAGATCAGTTACACCTGTCGTGATTTCAAGGAAAGACACAACGTATCCGTTAAAAGAGAAAAGCTTACATAAATGCGAGCAAAATCTGCAAATGTTGAACGCACAACTCTAAACAATACTTGAAATTGAATAAAATTGACAAAATATGAGAAGACAGTCTAAAACCTAACTGGGAGAGCTGCCATTGTTTGCCCGGAAATCTTCAGAGATTTTGACTGGTACTTTGTGTCTTTCCATCAAAATTGCCATTTTGGTTTCTCGCTGGGTAATTCACAGATGAAGAGAAATCTTGATTGACAAAAATACAGCTGATAGCTAACAGCTTTTCTTAAACAGAAGATGAAGGAAGATATAAAAGAACCTGTTATGATTTTGAAGCGGGTGATAGCCGATAGGGGGCATGTTAAGGCTGTAAGTAGAGGGTGTAGCAATAAATCTAACCCAAATAGAGTTTAACGCATCTCAGTATAGGCAAAATTAAAATTCATTAAAGTTTCATCACTTTAGCATGTGTACATTTGCTGGCCTTCTAATATTTTGCCAATAGATTTGTTAGGCTTGATTGCAAATTCTTATGAAATATATGAGTTTATCGTATGATCTGTAAAATGAAGACCTCTGATTGGTCAGTTCTTGTGCTGTACCAATCTGTATTGCTACTGAGATTGTTCCCGTAGATCATCTCCGTTGCAATACAGAAAATATTGGTACGGAGGGGACGATCTCAGTAGCAATACAGAGGACCACACGATAAAAACGTTATTGAATGATTTGAAGTGCAATACAGGAGACTTCGTCTCGTTCCAATACGGAATTTCTCGACCAGAATATATCCTGTATTGCACTTCAAATCATTCAATAACTTATAGTATGGTTTCAATGTACTGTACTCCCGATATTTTTCGCGTACAATTTAGTTTCGTGCTTTTCGCGATCGTGTAAAAATCACGAAAATTAATAGTCGCGAATATCGCCAATTAAAGGCTGAGGTGCAACATGCCATTGACTAAGATCTAGAGATTGTAAATTAATCTTATCCAAAGTATATGATATTGGGTAGATGGCAGTTCTTAAATATATGATAGACACGAATAATTCAACATCATAATTTAACCTTTTCCATTAAATATACCCTGTATCAAGCACAAAAACGTATTTACACCCTTTACTAAAATGGCAACCCCTCTATCACGCACTTGTTATATAATATATATATATATCAAATCCTATATGAGCCATTTCGAACAGTGGAAATAACTGAAATAACTACATATGTTTGAATTGGAATTTCAATACTTTGAAAATATGACATACATGTAAATGATAAAGGAAAAAGACATTTCTCATTAAAAAGATGCTAAATGTATTTCAATATATAATTTACGATGGGCGCTTTTCACATACTATTCCTTAAAAACCTCATCAATTTTTTTTCTAAAACTATAAAGGCTTTAATTGTGATGAAACTATTGCATAATGCCTATGGATATTCTCAAATGGTGGAGGTATGCAAAGATTTTTAAGGGGATGATGATTCTCGCTTTGGGTGCGAGATGTCCCGGGTTCAATCCCCGGACGAGCCCTTGCCTTTTAATTTCAATTTAACAAATTATTGTTTTGCTGATTCAAATGCAAAATTGAGAAAAAATTGATTATTTTAATTTCAATATGACAAAATAGTGTTTTGCTGATTCAGATACAAAAATGAGTAAAAGATTGATGTTATCATGGAATGTTGATGTTATCATAATGGCTTGTTGGACAACCTTGATGAGCCCTTCTATAATTCAATTCCAACATAGCAAATTAATGGTCTGCTGATTCTAATACATGAATGAGCAATAAAACAAATGCTACAAGGCGGCTCGTTGGTCTAGGGGCATGATTCTCGCTTAGGGTGCGAGAGGTCCCGGGTTTAACTCCCGGACGAGCCCTTACTTTTAATGTCAAACTATTGTTTTGCTGATTCAGAAACAAAAACGAGCTAAAGTTCATGTCTTCATGTTGGCTTTGGAAACAAAAACCAGCAAAAATTCATGTCTTCATTGCGGCTTTTGGTCTAGGGGCATGATTCTCGCTTAGGGTGCAAGAGGTCCCGGGTTCAATTCCCTCCTTTTACACTGGATTCAACTTTGATGAGGCCTTCCTTTTTAATTTCAATATAAAATAGTATTGTTTTGCTGATTCAGTCAAAAAATTAGCAAAATTATCGTCTTATCATGGTGGCTCGTTGGTCTAGGGGCATGATTCTCGCTTTGGGTGCGAGAGGTCCCGGGTTCAATTCCCGGACGAGCCCTTTCCTTTTAAAATTCGATTTACATATTATTGTTTTGATGACCAAGACAGAAAAATGAGCAGAAATTCATAATAAACGGTGGCTCGTTGGTCTAGGGGCATGATTCTCGTTTTGGGTGCGAGAGGTCCCGGGTTCAATTCCCGGACGAGCCCTTTCCTTTTTAATTTCGATTTACATACTATTGTTTTGATGACCCAGTCAGAAAACTGAGCAGAAATTCATAATAAACGGTGGCTCGTTGGTCTAGGGGCATGATTCTTGCTTTGGGTGCGACAGGTCACCGGTTCAATTCCTGGACGAACCCTTTCTTTTTTAATTTCGATTAACATATTATTGTTTTGATGACTTAGTCACACAATGAGCAGAAATTCAGATTAAACGGTGACATATTGGTCTAGGGGCATGATTCTCGCTTTGGGTGCGAGAGGTCCCGCGTTCAACTCCCTCTTTTTACACTGGATTCAACTTTGATGAGGCCTTCCTTTTTAATTTCAATATAAAATAGTATTGTTTTGCTGATTCAGTCACAAAAATTAGCAAAATTTCGTATTATCATGGCGGCTCGTTGGTCTAGGGGCATGTTTTTTGCTTTGGGTGCGAGAGCTCCCGGGTTCAACTCCCTCCTTTTACACTGGATTCAACTTTGATGAGGCCTTCAATCCTTTTTAATTTCAATATAAAATAGTATTGTTTTGCTGATTCAGTCACAAAAATTAGCAAAATTCCGTATTTTCATGCGGCTCGTTGGTCTAGGGGCATGATTCTCGCTTTGGGTGCGAGAGGTCCCGGGTTCAATTCCCGGACGAGCCCTTTCCTTTTTAATTTCGATTTACATATTATTGTTTTGATGACCCAGTCAGAAAACTGAGCAGAAATTCATAATAAACGGTGGCTCGTTGGTCTAGGGGCATGATTCTTGCTTTGGGTGCGACAGGTCACCGGTTCAATTCCTGGACGAGCACTTTCTTTTTTAATTTCGATTAACATATTATTGTTTTGATGACTTAGTCACAACAATGAGCAGAAATTCAGATTAAACGGTGGCATATTGGTCTAGGAGCATGATTCTCGCTTTGGGTGCGAGAGGTCCCGGGTTCAATTCCCGGACGAGCCCTTATTTTTAATTTCAATGTAACATATTATTGTTTTGCTGAGTCAGTCACAAAAATGAGCAGAAATTCTTATTATCATCGTGACTCGTTGGTCTAGGGGCATGATTTTTGCTTTGGGTGCGAGAGGTCCCGGGTTCAAATCCCGGACGAACCCTTTCCTTTTTAATTTCGATTTACATATTATTGTTTTGCTGAGTCAG